CTCCACTGATGGGTTTCAGAAACGGCTTCAACACGTGACCTATTTGGCTTCTCCGATGTTCAAAATTTTACTGTCACGGTCAGTATTATCACACACACATGTGGCTGTCACACACCCACCCTCTCACACACGCTCTGTCTTTCCCACTCGGCAACATTTTATTGAAACAGCACTGGATTATGTAAACCCATTTGGAAAGTGGGCTGTAAGTGTGTGCAGATGTTGGATGTATGCATAAGGCTGAGGAAAAGACAAATATATTTGAGATCCTACACAAATATTGCATTAACAGAAGAACGATGGTCATGTGATATCTTCAAACATGATCTACACTTGCTTGTCTTCCTTGTTAGGTGCACATGTTCAATAAGCAGACTCTTAATGCCTGAGCAAGCATTACACTTCAGCAATTACCTTAGCAATGAGCTACGGACATGAATGATACATCAAATCATGTGGTGTGTGGAGGAGAGATGTGCTAGCAAGCCTACTTCTTTATGTGATAAAACAATACAATAGGTACAAATATTTGACTCTGAGATTCGGTTCAAAATTAGTATCTGTACACAGTGGTGTTGGTGTTGATGCATCAGGAATAAGACAGTCTTGGAAAGCATGAGTGGAATAATCACACTCGGACAGAATATTTTATGCTTTTAAAAGGCCAAAATCCAAGAGCAATTTTTTGGAATATATATTATAAGCCGTGGGAAACATGATCAATGTCCTGGAGAAGCTTGTCTCACATGCACACTCACTGCAAAACTATTACAGCGTCACATCTTGGTTACACCGACCAACCATGACAGAGCCCACAAGATAATATCTGAGCCACAAACTGTCATTGAACTCATTATCATTTAAACTCAATGAATCAACCCATTAATCCATAATTATAGCAGTATATATTATATCCGCCAAGCACATTTTCTCTGGCACACTAGGAAAAACTAACTGATTAACTGAAGTTTTAAATAAACTGGATCGAACTCTGGGGATGTCACTCAGTCCAGCTGTTCCAGATGTTCAGGCTATTTTATGGTGCAATGACCTTGTTTACAAAACGGCCATATTGTGGTTTAATCGAAAGGTTGAACAATCTTAAGGCCATGACCTGGCAAACACAGATTCAGCATGTTTAATGGGCCAAAACAAGTGTCCACCAACGGCAACAGATGCCGACGAGGGTTAACACACTGATCCGACAAAACTAGAGATGCACTGACGTATTGGCCGCTTGTTTAAAAACAGCCCATGATCAGGGACTATTTTATCCTGTCAATCAAATGGGGACGGAAAAACATGTTCAGACGGTAACTACAATTGACAGTTCAAGCAGACTCTTTTTCACCCTATAAATCACCTGTATTTCAAGTCAGGGTTGCCAGGTCTGCGGTTTTCCCTACACCAAACATTATTTTTAGCGCCTGCCATCCAACAATCGCTTAAAACGTTGTGTTTTGTTACTTCTGTTAAGAAACAAAGTCCCAGCTCTCAAATGATGTCCATTTTTATCACAGATTTCAAACATTAAATGCCGTTTTGACGCTCTTAAATGTGCCTCAGTTCAAGCAGAAACGCAAGTCTTTTCTTCCACTGTAAGTTATAGCAAGAAAAAACATGCATTAACATCAGATGGTATGTTGAAAGATACAGTACAACTTACCGAAATTAATCATGTCTCGCTTAATCAGCTTTTCAACCGAGGGAAGACGTCAATAAAACAGCTTGTGTTATGATTGCATCTACCTCAGGAAAGTTATCGAATGTTCACAGTTGGTTAGTTAGCTAGAAAAAAACCTAGAGAAGAGCTTATTTACTGTTAATTCTACAGTAGATGTATGCTTGAATTCATGTCATGAAAACGTTGAAACATGAAACATTTCAGTTTTTATCTGAGTATAATTATATCATATCTGAAAGTAAATCCCAGTTGAATGTAATAGCTCTGTAGTTAAATCAAACCTTAAATATTATAGTAATATCCCAAATGAGAGGATTTCCCGTAGAGATTGCAGCATTATTTCAGAGAGATTTTGTTTCCCTTAAAGGGTTAGGTCACCCAAAAATGAAAATTATTTCATGTCGACTCGGACTTGCTTGCTTCCTCAAAGACTCAGGCTTGACTCGGACTTGCTTCCTCAAAGACTCGGTCTCGACTCGGACTTGCTTCCCTCAAAGACTCTGTCTCGACTCGGACTTGGTTCCTCCAAGACTCTGTCTCGACTCGGACTTGGTTCCTCAAAGACTCTGTCTCGACTCGGACTTGGTTCCTCAAAGACTCGGTCTCAACTCGGACTTGGTTCCTCAAAGACTCTGTCTCGACTCGGACTTGGTTCCTCAAAGACTCTGTCTCGACTCAGACTTGGTTCCTCAAAGACTCTGTCTCGACTCGGACTTGGTTCCTCAAAGACTCGGTCTCAACTCGGACTTGCTTCCCTCAAAGAGTCTATCTCGACTCGGACTTGGTTCCTCAAAGACTCGGTCTCGACTCGGACTTGCTTCCCTCAAAGAGTCTATCTCGACTCGGACTTGGTTCCTCAAAGACTCGGTCTCGACTCGGACTTGGTTCCTCAAAGACTCGGTCTCGACTCGGACTTGGTTCCTCAAAGACTCGGTCTCAACTCGGACTCGGACTTGCTTCCTCAAAGACTCGGTCTCGACTCGGACTTGGTTCCTCCAAGACTCTGTCTCGACTCGGACTTGGTTCCTCAAAGACTCTGTCTCGACTCGGACTTGGTTCCTCAAAGACTCGGTCTCAACTCGGACTTGGTTCCTCAAAGACTCTGTCTCGACTCGGACTTGGTTCCTCAAAGACTCTGTCTCGACTCAGACTTGGTTCCTCAAAGACTCTGTCTCGACTCGGACTTGGTTCCTCAAAGACTCGGTCTCAACTCGGACTTGCTTCCCTCAAAGAGTCTATCTCGACTCGGACTTGGTTCCTCAAAGACTCGGTCTCGACTCGGACTTGCTTCCCTCAAAGAGTCTATCTCGACTCGGACTTGGTTCCTCAAAGACTCGGTCTCGACTCGGACTTGGTTCCTCAAAGACTCGGTCTCGACTCGGACTTGGTTCCTCAAAGACTCGGTCTCAACTCGGACTCGGACTTGCTTCCTCAAAGACTCGGTCTCGACTCGGACTTGGTTCCTCCAAGACTCTGTCTCGACTCGGACTTGGTTCCTCAAAGACTCTGTCTCGACTCGGACTTGGTTCCTCAAAGACTCGGTCTCAACTCGGACTTGGTTCCTCAAAGACTCTGTCTCGACTCGGACTTGGTTCCTCAAAGACTCTGTCTCGACTCAGACTTGGTTCCTCAAAGACTCTGTCTCGACTCGGACTTGGTTCCTCAAAGACTCGGTCTCAACTCGGACTTGCTTCCCTCAAAGAGTCTATCTCGACTCGGACTTGGTTCCTCAAAGACTCGGTCTTGACTCGGACTTGCTTCCCTCAAAGAGTCTATCTCGACTCGGACTTGGTTCCTCAAAGACTCGGTCTCGACTCGGACTTGGTTCCTCAAAGACTCGGTCTCGACTCGGACTTGGTTCCTCAAAGACTCGGTCTCAACTCGGACTCGGACTTGCTTCCCTCAAAGAGTCTGTCTCGACTCGGACTTGGTTCCTCAAAGACTCGGTCTCGACTCGGACTTGGTTCCTCAAAGACTCGGTCTCGACTTGGACTTGGTTCCTCAAAGACTCTGTCTCGACTCGGACTTGGTTCCTCAAAGACTCATTTTCGACTCGGACTTGGTTCCTCAAAGACTCGGTCTCGACTCTGACTTGGTTCCTCAAAGACTCGGTCTCGACTCGGACTTGCTTCCTCAAATACTTGGTCTTGACTCAGACTTGCTTCCTCAAAAACTCGGTCTCGACTCGAACTTGCTTCCTCAAAGACTCAGTCTCGACTCGGACTTGCTTCCTCAAAGACTCGGACTTGATTCCTCAAAGACTCGGTCTCGACTCTGGCTTGCTTCCTCAAAGACTCGGACTTGACTTGGACTCGACTTTATTTAAAAACCAAAGGACTCGGACTTGATTCCTCAAAGACTCGGTCTCGACTCGGACTTGCTTCCCTCAAAGACTCAGACTTGCTTCCCTCAAAGACTCGGTCTTGACTCAGACTCGACTGTATTTGAAAACCAAAGGACTCTGACTTGACCCTTCAAAGACTCGGTCTTGACTCAGACTCAACTATATTTGAAAAAAAAAAACGGACTCGGTCTCGACTCGGACTCGACCCTTCAAAGACTCGGTCTCGACTCGGACTCGACCCTTTAAAGACTCGGTCTCAACTCGGACTCGACCATTCAAAGACTCGGTCTCAACTCGGACTAGACTGTATTTGAAAACCAACGGACTCAGTCTTGACTCGGACTCGACCCTTCAAAGACTCGGTCTTGAGTCGGACTCGACTGTATTTGAAAACCAACGGACTCTGTCTCGACTCAGACTCGACCCTTCAAAGACTCGGTCTCGACTGTATTTGAAAAACCAATGGACTCGGTCTCGACTCGGACTCGGCATAGGTGGTCTCGTCCCCATCACTACAGTAAGACGTACATACATCTTCAATGGAGGAACAGAAAGCTCTCAGACTAAATCTAAAATATCTTAAACTGTGTTCTGAAGATGATCGGAGGTCTTACGGGCTTGGGACGACATGAGGGTGAGTCATTTTTGGGTGAACTAACCCTTTAAGAAACTTAAAATATCGGTAGATAGCGGTCTGATATCGGTATTAGCAGAGAAATGTAGTATCGGTGCATCTCCACACAAAAACTGTCTGTTTCCGTTCATCGGCTCAACGTGAATTGGCCTTTAAAAATAAAGGTTCTTTATTGGCATCGATGGTTCCATGGAGAACCTTAAAAAAATCCATGGAATTGTTTCCACTGGAAAAAGGTTCTTAATAGTGATAATAGATTATTAAAATGTTCTTTACGTGGCTCTTTTAGGAACGGTTCACTGAAAGAGTGTAGTCAGATAGTGAATGGACCCACACACCTTCTTAGGAGCTCGTGACGGAGGTTTCCTGATGGGTTTGGAGATCTCGCTTCGTTTGGACACGGATCCATTGCCCTGTTTATTGGTGGATGGAGAGGGTGAGGGGGTCGCGGCTGCAGGACTGGTTGGGACGGCCATGTCCTCGGTGCAAGTGAGACGCAAGCTTCGGAAGTACTCGTCGGTCTCCCGGTCAACCACCAGCAGTCGGGTCTCATGATCCACGGCTTTGATGCGCTGCACCACCTGAGGAGCAGAAGAGATGGCAAAACTGCTCATGAACACATTCATGCTGCTATTTTTGATGCATCAGGTCTCTTTGATGAATAGGAAGTTCAAAAGAACAGCCTTTATTAACATTATAAATGTGTTTACTGTCACTTTTGATCAATTTAATGCGTCCTTGCTGAATAAAAAGTATTAATTTCTATAAAAAAATCTTACTGCCTAAACATTTGAAGACGTGCTTCCCACTACGCTACCATGCACACGGTGTTATATGATCCTCCTGTCATAACTGGAACTGCACACATATTAAAAATTCCTTTAACATGTGCACATGCGCGACTCTAATAACAAAGAAATATCTACTCATAGTCTACAGCAGAAATGCGGTAAAGCCTCCAGCTGCTGTCACAGTCAACACACCATTCAGTCAGTGCAACTCAAGAAATGTGTGGAATTTCTTTGTGCATTCATTCACAAGTCCACAGGTTTCTGATACGCAAGCTTTTTATTTTATTTCTATGCAAAGTTGTTTCCAAAGGCTAAACCTTTATAGCTCAAATAAATGGATTTCACTCTTTAAAAGTGCACCATATCTCTCAAAGGTTTGGACACACAGACACATTCTCATGATTGTTTGCACATTTAGAACAATAGTAAAAGTCATTGAAACTATGACATAACACCAATGAGAATGATGTTGTGACCAACCCTCTTGTATTTGAGTCTCACTGTCTTTAAGTTTCTTTGCTCAGCTCATTCTGCATATTTATCAACCAACTTCATCTAGGATGCTTTTAAAAACTATATAAGGATATTTTATTTAATATTTTTTTCCTCCCTTCAGATCACGACAAACGAACACAAACGATTAAAAGTTTGGACTTGAGTCGGTAATATTTGTTATGTTTTTTTTAATTTATTTTTTTATAAAAAAATACAGTGAAACCGTAATAGTTTCAAATAGCATCACGATTTAGCTGTTTTATATTGTATTTTCACTTTTCAGCATCATTACTCCAGGCATTCTGCGTCACGTGACCCTTCAGAAATCATATAATACGCTGATTTGAAATCTTTTCGAACATTATAAACGTCTTAACTGTCATTTTGGATCAATTGAATGAATCCTTGCTAAACAAAAAAATATTACTAATCTCAAACTTTTGAAAATTAGTGCAGTTTAAAACTAATAAATTGCATATAGCCTATTACCTCACAAAGCAGCATCATAGCAGTGTAATGTGTGTTATGAGGGCAGAATATGCAGGATCAGCACAGGTGTGTGTGTGTACGTACCTGATGGTGTGTCTCTCTCTCCACGTTCTCGCCGTTCACCTCTACCACACGGTCACCCGCGCGCAGTCCCGATGCCTCAGCCGGGGACGCGCGCTCCACTTTCCGTATGTACTGTCCGGTTTTTCCTTTCTCTCCGTGCAGATGAAACCCGTATCCGCTCTCTCCTTTCTTCATCACACACAACCGAGGCTTCAAATCACTAGCCATTGTATTCCGCTTTTGTCTTCACATCCAAACTTGTTATAAAATCCAAGCGTTATATTTAAAAAAACAAAACAAAAACGAAAACTTACGGCAAAAGCATCTGCAAATGTTTACAAGCAAGCATCGTTGTCGGTTTTATGTGTTTAAGTAGTGCTGTAGTGCATAGTCCACAGTGTATGTAAAAATAATATGCCTGCAACGGCAAGACAATAAAAAATATAACCTAATAGACAAAAAGCAAGAAAAAAAAGTGTCCAAATCGATCAAATTCTTTTCCAAAGAGAATGCAAAAGTGGTGACTGCAACTACCTGTGGATGTTCCTAGACGGATGCAAAACTCCTGTGTGCGACATTGCGCCCTCGGAGAGAGAAACGCATCTGTGTGGTGCTGCTGCACACTGAGACACGTGTGTGTGTGTGTGTGTGTGTGCAGTGAATAAGACCGCCCATTCACAGACACAGCAGAAATGCGCAGAGGAAAGTAGCGAAAGAGCCTCTGCAATAGTGCTTTTTACACAAAGAGTAGCCTACAGTCACTTTAACAATAAAAGGTTTACACTTGTATTTTTGCACACGGTAACCTAAAACTTAAACAAAACGCAGTCTGCTGTGAAATATACAATTATCGACTGAAAGGGAATTGTAGTTCTGATAGGTCGACGCACAGGGAAAAAAGTCGAGAATTTGTTTTGTCTTGAACTTTTTAAATTGTTACTCGGCGGTACATAGGCCTACATATAGGCTACAGCCCATTCTCACTCCCAAGGCGTCACCTTATTGACGTCTTGGGAAGCATTTTGACCCTGCTTTAATATCTGACGCTTTAGGCACCCTTTAGCGTCAGTTAGATGACGCCCTAGGATCGCGTGTAAACCTACCCCTACGCCAGACCTAAACCTACCCACGTCATCTAGCCTAACTGGCGCTTTTCCTTTAGCGTCAGGCATATGACGCCGAAGGATCGCGTCATGTAACTGACGCTAAAGGGCACCTAAATTGTGAATATTGAAGCATGGTCAAAAGGTGACGCCTCGGGGTGAGAATGCACTGACATAGGCTATACATATGTGCTATATATATATATATATATGGTATGAGGGTGGAATATGCAGGATCAGCACATCAGCACAGGGGTTTGTGTGATGTACCTGATGGTGTCTCTCTCTCCACTATATATATATATACACAAATTAAAGTGATAGATAAATAGGCAACACTTCATTTAGTCATCATGGTTTATCGATAGCAATTGCAATAACGTCAGCCTTGTTATGGTTGATTTTGAGCAAACGCGATTTCAATTCGTTTTCGTTTAGTTGTTGGTGAAAATGAAATGTTTGAATACATACTTTCTAGAGGATGTCTGTTCTACACCTTCCACTGACTTCTTTTGGGGAAAGATTAAAGCCTTTACTATTGGGTCATAACCCCATAATTCGCAACCTGCAAACCAACAATCCACTAACGCTATCTGCCATTAACAACTTGTCCCACTCATCAGCACATGGACGGAGAAGAGGTGAATGACCAGAAGAGAGAAAGTATTGGTGTTCATAACACCATCTCATAAAATATAAATAAATCATATGAATTTGAGAACATTTTGGCTCACACAAACCACATATAGGACAAGCGCGCACACATTGAGGAGATTATCAGCTTGGTTGTGCTGCACTCTGCTGGCGAAAAGGGGAACTATCTATCTATCTATCTATCTGGATTAAATATTTTCTGGATTAACACATTTCTGGAACTACAATTTAGTGAAGCTCTATAAAAAGCATCTGTCCTTGACTTTTCTGTAGGTTCTCCCAGTTTATTATTTATCAAGTGTTCACGATGTCTCTAAACATTTTGTTATAAAGGCCTACCCAGTTAATGTTCATGTAATGTTCTGTGATGTTGTTTCTTACTCCTCCCTGGCCTTACATAATAGCAGGTCGGCGTGAGATACGTTGAAATATAATTTAGTAAAGAGCAAAATGAGGGCCATCATTCGCTACATGCATGTGTCAGACGCCTGGAGACAAACAGGAGATTACCAACCCTCAACCATGTCTTTCAGCAGGTTGACAGATTTGAACAGTTCAACCAAAGACTGCAATATCGCTGGGGTCATACTGAAATTGCAGTTTCAATGTGCCAAAAAAGCAGATCTGAAGGAGCAAACATACTTTTAAAGTACAAATGAAAAAGAATCATTCATAATACTCACCCTCCTTCAAACTGGTATGACTCTGTCTTACATGTATGACTATAAAAATGAACTTATTTAAACCACTTCAGCACACTTCAATAAAAAATAAATAAATAAAAAAATACAAATATTCTCAAAATTAAAGTTCTTTACTGGTACAAGTCAAAGTACTGTAGCCATTTTATAACGACCGAAAAAACAAAACAAAAAAAAACAAAACTAAATATAAACAGACCAATTTGCACTGAAAAGCATTTTACAAAACACACCGCACAAAGTCCTATATCTCAGCTAAAATTCTGTAAAATAAATAGTCACGAACAAATCAATAGTATTTTACAAACGGACTCTTATAGGTCAACATAGTGGTGTTGACGACACTGTTCTGCAAATGAACCCCTGGCTTTTTAAACATATCCAATGAATCACATAGGACTTGTGCAACTTACATTTCCTTTATAAAGACAGAACAGTGCGCTGCTGTCTACTTTAACTCAAAAGCTTGACAAAAACACAATAAAAAGGAAAATAATGATGATAAAGACGATAGGGCGCACCCCTTTATGTAAAATAAACACTGATAAGTCGATTAAAAAGGGCTAATTACAATAAGTTACATTCCTGCGGAGTATCATGACTGCGCTGTGATGTTATATACTACTGACGAGAGAAACAAACTGAGTGAGAGAGCGTTTTATGTCCAGTTTTGTTCAAATGTACATATATTAGTCCACATGCTCATCCATAAACACCCGTTCCCCGTCTCCATCTGAGCTCAAGCTAGTGTCTCTTACAATTTATGGCTGTTCGTTTGTACAAAAAATAAAATACTGTCTGGGTCATATTTCACACTGAAAATAATATCAGCCCTAAATGGCACGTACAAATAACACAACTCACAACTGTGATTGGTAGCTTCAGTCAGCATTATAAAGCAAAAAAGGACTGTTTTACGATGTTTTTTTTTTTTTTTGCATCATCACATTATTTGAAAATTAGGAACATTTCCCTATAAAATGACCACATTATTATAATGCAAAAGAAAAACGTAATTGGAATAAATTCTCAATAATAATATTGAAAAAAAAAATGACGCTCAATAGTAATTTCTCAAGATGTATTACAATTTAATTATTTAAATCAGTACAAATGAAAAAGCAGTAAAACGAAGGATATCATAAATATATAAAAATAAAAACTTTTTAAATAATATATACTTTTGCATTACAGTAACAAGATTTTCTTTTTGTCGCTTAAATTTAAAAACAACATCACAATGCAAAAAAAAACAACAACTTCGCAGTCCTAATATAAGATTGATTTAGTAAAAAATAACTTTCCAAGGGGGAAATATGACCCAGACATATTCTCATGAGGGTAAGCGGTGGTAAAGGTTTTAAAAACGTCCCTCTTCCGGACTGGTGAAGTCGGATACTCGGATACTTACATTAGTGTGTCCTGAACTTCACACGTCTCTGTACATTCAGAAAACAAAAGTAAAATGAGAGAAGCGTGTTCTGTCTGAAGGCACAGATACCTCTACGGGGCAGGAGCGTAACACGGGGCCCGGCCGAAAGGGCATGAGAATCAGTGCAAGAACAGGGAAGTGGGAAGGAAACGAGTGGGAAATCCTTAGCTTGAAATGCACGGCTCTTTCCCGCTGTGCTCCTTGTAACTCTGTTTCGGCCATCATTCGTATTAAAGTCTTAAAAACGTAGCGTCAAAGTCCGAGCGTTTCCTGTATGTACATAAAGGGTGATACGGTACTGTACAAAGGGGGTTTATTGAGTGTGAGGTTTGCCGTGGACTCTGAAGCGATACAGGCAGGTGTAATCGGGATGACCCCAGTTCGAAAGCACGCGCATCTCGATGATCTGGAACGCCTTGTCATTCTTCTCCTTGGGACAAAGAGGAAAAATAAACCATGGTCAGCATTTCTGCTCATTGCTAAACACTAGTACGCTGCTCTGCTGTCTACAAAGGCAGCATGCTAACTAAAAGAGAACTATATACGAAATAGACACAATTTATAATTTATTGTAAATTGAGTTTGACAGAAGCATGTTGCTAAGCTAATAGGCCTGTCACGAAAATATTGAATACTGGAAGTACGTCTTTTAGTAGGGATACGGCTCTTCCGGTTAGCTTTTTACAATGGTGGAGTCCAATAGAGACCAAATCTCTCCTCATATGACGATGTGGTTCGGAAGGTAAATGAAAACTCTCAAGTGGGAACGCGTGAAAGCTGAGGTATGGCTGTCTACGTCCTGATGCAGAGCAACCCGGTACACTACAACAACAGCCAGTAAGGTTAACGTTTTTATGGTTGGACCAATCAGCAGACTTTGCTACTACGCTTAGGATTGTGTGTAGTGTATTTTTTTCCCTTAAGATCACGGATAAAACATGTTTTTCTTTAAACAAGGTTGATTTCATACAAACTTATAGCTTCAACAGGTGCAAAAACCTTCGTTTCACAACCTCACAGCTTGTGGTCAGTCTACCTCGGATGGTTTAGACATTAGGGCTGATAATCTAAATCCTTATCGAGAAATACTGTTGACCGAAAGTTCTGTATCCCTACTCCGCGATCCGGAAGCAGGAAGTGTCACATAGGCCTATAACACTTGATTTCTTTATAAACGCGTTCTGGGACATGCAATGCTGAATTTGGCCAAAAAGAAAAGTTGCTAAGCTAACGACAAGATACTAGGAAACACATAACGTGTTTTCCATTTTATTTTTTTCTGGATTTAGTTTTAATGGTTTAATTAATTGAATTTATGTTAAAAAGGATGTTTAATCAATCGCATTCATAAAATTTAATAATCGAACAAATTTTTGATTAAAATTTGAACAATAATTACACCGTTTTTATTTTTTTATTTAGATTTTTCTTGATTCTGTTTCATACAAATGTATTTCCAAAAACAGTGGTAATCAAATAATATATAAACATTCATAATGTCATTTAAATATATATATATATATATATATATATATATATATATATATATATATATATATATATAAATAACTTTATTTCTTGGTAAAAAAAAGTGTCGTGCAGCAGAGGTTTGCAAATGGTTGTGGTTTTGCTTAAAACATTTTTACTATTAAATTTTAAATAAAAAAAATTTGATATTTAATATTAAATGTAATATATTTTTTTTAAAATTGTGATATTCCTTAAGTGTTTTAATAAACTTTTATTATTATTGTTGTTATTATTACCTTGAGAAGCAAATTCTACTGTACAATAGTAATATACAGTATTTCTTTAATAATTTCTTCAAGTTAAAACAAACTGTGTTCGGGTTGTAGAATAGACTTTGAGGTTCTGTGCGTATCTGACGTTAGTTTTATCAAATGAAATGATAAAATACTGGCCAAGACATATTTCAATAGCAGTCTTTCAGTGGTTTAATATTCACAGACGCAAGTCTATACCCCGATTCGATTAAGTGTTTAGCCCTACTTTTGAATGATCCAAATTTGACCAAATTATGTAACATTCCATGTATTACATTTTTATAACTGGATTAAGGGATTCTGTCCACATTTTCTGTATCGTGGAAATGCCTCTGCCTTTAAGTTGCCTTAATTATGGATTTCTAAAAATGACCTTTCATGTAGTGTGTAACATCTCTAAGTGAATGAAAACATCCTGCAGTTTTAAGTTTTAAATCTGAAAGTGCATCATATATAAAGTTATTGTCTTTCATAAGGAAGAGTCGACTAGGCAGTAATATCAAGAGGAAACATTAGCATATTGCCTGACACCAGGGAAAACTTGAACCCTGTAGGGGAGCACTGGACATTGTACATCTGCAAATTCTGTATGTATATATTTTACCATAACTGGGAAGATCTGGAGTGATTCTCCATCATCTTGATAGGTGTAGTCACCCAGTAGTTTCCCTTCCTCCTGGTATTCATCATCTAATCCCTGCGGATACAAACAGCAAGACTTACAGCACAGCACACGTGACTATACACCACTTCTGAACACATTTGTTTAAGCATCCAGCTAGAAATATGTGTCAGTACATGCTCTTAAACCAGACATAAGCATGCGTTCTTACATAGACAGAGAATCGTCGAGGTGCGCTGCTGATGTTCCCCGAGGGAGAGAGGCTTTTGGGAATATGCTCCAGGCAGAAGGAGGTCGGGATCACGCTTGAAGACAGCCTGATCACCAGATAACCCTGGGAGCCTTTAAACGCCCAGCAGTTTCCAGGGTACATGTCCGGCTACAAAACAGACAGAAATTCACATTCATCTTTCTTGGTGCCATCAGTTTATTTCATTTTTTTTTTTATTCTATTGTTTGTCATTTGCTCTTATTTTATTACTTACTACTTGTGTTAAAATGTTTGAACTTTACATTAGTAAGGCTAGCAGTTTTTGTTGTGATATAAAAGCGAGAATTGTGAAATTTCACTAGTAGGTAAAAATGTTTATTTATTTATTAAAATACAAGGTTACAACAAAGAAAACAATCACTTTTTTTTGGGTGGCGGGGCCAGTAAAAATCCTTATCGTTGAGCCCAGGCACAGCTAAATAGGTTTATGTGAAGAATTCTTTGTAATATTTTCTAAAGCCTATGTTAAAAATGATGGCTTTCCATTTATACTGTAATGTTGAATGGTTATAATTACTCATTTCATCCCCAGAAATTGTAATTAGTATAAAGAAATTAGTATTTGGAGATTCAATGTAAAGTGATTTATTACAATATAAAAATACATTACAAATGTTAAAAGGATTAATTGTGAATAATTAAAGAATATATGCAAACAATTATTATTATTATTTTTTTTTATTAATCAGAGTGCTGATACTCTTCCATGTATATTTATGGACTTATTTGATGTTAATATACAAATCAACTTAGATTGTATTCAAAGTATTCATTTTATCCGGGAATCGAAACCATGGCCTTGACATTCTCTACTGTTTAACCTACAGAATAGTTGCATATTTTGATATGTGTGATGATCTATCACTTCAAGGTGTACTTTAGGTCTGTACCTGGATGACGGCACGTGGAGACTGTGAGAAGTACCACAGTGGGATCCCAAACAGGCTCATCAGTGCCGTCTTTGTCTCATACGTCTCAGAGCAGCGCGTGCTGAGAATGCTGCCACCTGCCGACACACATCAGTCTTATGGAAAAATGTCTTTAAAGGGCCAGTGATGTTCATATGTGCGTGTTGTAGACGTGCTAACCTCCAGACTCCAGAGCGTAGTCCACCTGTCCGGTGCGATCCTCGGAGTACAGCCTTAACGCACGCTGGACGATCAACTGCACCTGCTGAGATTGAGGGGGATTATTATTTCAGAGATTTTAAAGGCATCTTAAAATGCGGATGTAAACATACAATTGAACGAGAAAACTAAAACGGTTTCCTCAAAAATGGCCACTTAAATTAACAGCAGCCATAAACGTTCTTTCCTCATCACATGAAAAGATTGGGTGTCATCTGATGTGTAATAAACTTTACATCTGTTGTTAAGATATGAGGTTGGAGTCTACTTTGAAAGAGCAAGATACATAACACAACTGCTCAAAAGTTTGGAGTTGGGTAGGATATGTTGTAATGTCTCTTTTTTGAAAGAAGTCTCTTATGCTTAGAAGGACAGTTAATATTGTGAAATATTATTACAATTTATAACTTTTCTATATTATATATTAATATTCTATATTAACATATTACAATATGTAATTTATTCCTGTGATCAAAGCTGAATTTTCAGCATCGTTACTCCAGTCTTTAGTGTCACATGATCCTTCAGAAATCACTCTAATATGATGATTTGATGCTCAAGAAACACAATCATCATCATCAATTTTGAATTGTGTGCTGCTTAATATTTTTGTGGAAACCGTGATACATACATTCAGGATTCTTTCATAGTTCACAAGACAAGCATTCATTTGAAATATAAATCTTTCATTACTTTATAAATGTCTTTATTGTCACTTTTGACCTAGCCGATTAAAAGTAATAATTTCAACAAAAAAAATAAATAAATAAATAAATAAAAAAATCATACCACCAACTTTTGAATGATAATGCATAATTACCTCTAAAAAAGTAATTCAGCAAACTTGCTACCACAACTTCCAAGTTTACAAGTTCTAATTTATTGATCCATTTAAGTTTCAAGTTATTTTGTTGAGTTATGTTGACTTCAAAGTTAGACTACCTGAAGGCAAACACTACATTGACTCTATAAACAATGACATCGCTGATGCCAGTGAAAAGTAATTTCTTACTTGTTCATTAAAATTCCAAGCTAAATAAGTTACATTTAGCATATTCTATTCTAGCTGCAGATTTTAGGTAAAATAGATCAAATTAATTGGTTTCAGGGCTACAGCTCAAGTAATTTCTTTGAGTAATCAACTTAAAAAATTGCATTTGACTTAGTTTACAAACTTAATTTACAATATAATGCAGTTTTGCTGGTTGAACACAATTTAATTAAAAGTTGTCATAACTCAAAAAAAAAAAAAAAAAAACTGATGCAAAGGTAATCAAGCCAACGTTATTTTTTTTAGCTTTGTACCTCCTCTGACATCCCAGCAGCCCCAGCGGTGTGGGCGACAGTCTGAGTAATTGTTTCAGTGGTGGACTGCTGCTGTTTGCTCTCCTGCATCTGAAGAGACAGGTTTCCCAGAATGCTGCGCTCCAGGATCATGAGGGTCGCGGTGAGGTCAGAGGAGCGTGTGTACTGGGATGCCAGCCACGGCAACAAGGGCTCGGGAATCTCCATTTCACCCCCGTTTTGACCGTACAACAGAGCGTACAACTCTTTTTTCACCTGAGCCGACACCTGGGGAAGAAATCAGATTTTATATTTATTTATATATATAAGTGAAAACCGCAACAGGATGAGCACTGTATAAACACTACACACCGTTTCATGTATGGTGTCGAGCCGGTCGCATTTCCCCCGACATCCCATCACCCCTTGCAGGTCTTCTCTGATGCGGCCCAGCTCCGCTTCCAACCTCTGAACCTCAGAGAGCAAAGCATCATGGTTCTCCTGAGACACTCCAACACTGAAGAGCAAAAGCCAAGAGCGGATGTTAATACTGAGACAGGAAGTGCCCCGTACAACTACATCTGCAGGTGATTTTTAAGCATGTCTACCTGACAGGGGCCTGTACTGGAGTCTGCTGTGTTACATGGATTTCCTTTGAATGAGAAGAGAATTGAGACAGAATTAGATGAATGAGTGTAATCCAGTAATACAAAGACTTTGCTCACAGAAATAAAAGTCATTTTAACATGTATTCAAATAGAAAACGGTTATTTTAAATAGTAATATTTCATTATATCAATGTTTTTACTGTATTTTAAATCAAATAAATGCAACCTCTGTGAGCAGAAGAGACTTCTTTAGACAACTTTAAAAAATCGAATAGAGCCCAAACTTCTGAATAGTAGTTTATGCCTTTTTTATTATTTTATATGATCAGTTGGCACTTCCTTTTACTGACTCTATTCTCTTACAAAATACAGTGATGAGTGTTGCAATGGCAAGAAATAATCAGAGGACATGAGAAAACAATCGCTAATTTGTAATTGCAGTAATTCTGAAAAGACATGAAGGCATCAAAAGAGTGTGTGTGTGTGTGTGTGTGTTCTACCTCAGTTCTAGAGTTCAGGTTCTGAAGGAGAAGTTCCAGCTCAGCTAGTCGAGTTTCGATCCTCGTCTGATGCTGCACGCGCTGTTCCTCAGTCTGGAACACAGTGAGAGAAAAACAACTACACATTAAAAAGACAGTTGTGGGTAAAATAATACCACTGGGGACAGAGGGAGGCATGGATTGTACATAAAACAAAGCAAAACAAGCAAAATGCAACTTAAAAGGCAGTTAAGGCCCCGATATACTCATGGTAAAGCTCTTTTTCATTCTTCGTTTAGAGATAAAACAAAGTTAGAAACGTAAGCCATGAAATACTGTTATATCGAACATCTGACGCTGAGAGCAATTATGTAAATATGTGTCGCACGCTTTTCTCTTAATAACAAAAAGCACCAGATCATAGCAATGCACATATATTTGCACAAACTCTATGGCACTCCAGTAAAGTCACATCATGTTAATTTGAATAGGCTGTCACTTTATCCAACAAATTGCTTAAAATCAAGCAGCTTTACCGTATTAACCTCGACGGACTGAACAGGAGAAGCCCAAAAGATTTCCACGTGAAAGGCGGCGAAGCCTCAGCACACACTTATTACACAATTGCCACGGACCAACGGTAGTACCAAGGTGTTTAGCTGCCATAGCGACCTTTTTCTATTCCAAAGAAAGTTCGCTTTGGCAAGCTGTTTCAAACTCCCAAAACGAACTCCACATGAACTGTGATTTGCCCTGATTTTGTTCAAAAACTAGGCCTACATCACATCAGTTCATTCTTTGATTTCAGGGCATATCAGTATAGTATATCAGGGCCTTTAAACTTCTTAACCCTCTGGGCTTCTTCGTAAATGGGTTACACTTAGCTTCCTCCCGGTCAAAAACGGACGAAGCCTTAAAATTTTACTTTACTTTTTCCCAGGATAACCATTCAAATATATTTTTGTTCTATAATATTTTATGATTATTATTTAGAATTTTTTAGAATTTTTTATGATACTTTGCATTAATTATATAATTTTTATGAGCTATTTTTTCCATTAGAATTAATATACATATTTTTATTTTATATTGTTTTTTATTTTTTTTTTCAATAAATACAACATTTCACATCAAAATAGAGTGTCAGCTAATAAAAAAAAATAATAATTCAAGTAGAAGAGCGCCACCTAGTGGCTTTAAAAAACAGTTACATGTGTGCAATGTCCTGTACAGCCTGTAGGCTGCCTATAGCTTCCTATTCAAATACATAGAAAGGCTTTTTGATTCTTTTTGTTGGTTTAGACATGATTTCTCATGTCTGTGTGCGTGTGTGTGTGAGTGCGCATTTGAGCAAGATTTTTTTCTCATTTATTGATTTTATTTTTCATATTCTACAAATTTGATGGTGCAGTCTTGCCAGTTTATCTGTGTATGTGTGTGTGTTTGTGTGCGTGTGTGTGTGTGTGTGTGTGTGTGTGTGGGGGGGGGGGGGTGGTCTTATTTGCACTCTTGATGTTCTAGAGTGTCACCCCTTCATTGCTGTACACTTTTTTTCTGCACAGTTGCTGATCTGTAGCTTGTACCACCAAAAGTTTCTCTGAGTTTTCCTATTTTTTCGTATTTCCCATTCATTTCCTATGTCGGTCATTTTTGACCGGGAGGAAGCTAAGTGTGACTTTTTTTTTTACGACCCTTTAACAAATCAGAATCATCTCCTTGATTTTTTTGTGTGTTCATATAGGTAATACAACAAGTCACCAAGTTTCAGCCCGTTTCGATCAAGCAAAAAAATTAAACATTTCAAAACGTAACAGTTTTCGGTCATTTTTGACCGAAGAAGCCCAGAGGGTTAAACAACATAATAACAACCACTGTATACAATCTAATATTTGATAGTTATTGTAAAAAATAAAATAACATATAACAAGAAAACATAATGACATTTCTGAATAAAATCAGTGGAGAATAATATTAAAAGCAGGACAGTCCCATAAAAAAGGTTTCCAAATATTTACCTTTAAATGATAATTTTGAACCCTGCATTTTGATCTAATGATCTAAACCAGTGGTTCTCAACTCCAGTCCTGGGGACCCACTGCTCTGCATATTGTGTATGTCTCCATTATTTAACACACCTGATTCAGATCCTCAGCTCGTTAGGATAGACTCTATGAACTGAACTGAGTGTGTCAGATAAGAGAGACATACAAAATGTGCAGACCCGAAGACTGGAGTTGAGAACCACTGATCTAAACAGAGGAAACAACCTTAACACAGAAGCTTGATAATTCTAACCTCTGTCCTGCTGACCGTCTCTCTCTCCATCTTTCCCTTGAGTGCGCTGAACTTGGGCTCGAGGAGCTGCGAGACCCACAGGCCGAGACTCTCTCTGTCTGTCTGTGTGTTTATCTGGTCCTGAAGGGCCTGAACGGAACCCACGGCCTCCTCATGCTGCTTCCTGGCTATCAGCTCCCCCTGCTGGACGCTTTCCCACAGTGACGCCACACGCTGCTCGAGTCGAGCCAAACGCTCGCTGTCAATGGACCCCGATGCAGCCTGACAAGAGTTCAGATTAGAATTAGATTCTTAGAAATATCAGATTTGACTCTAGTGATTGGTCCTGGTTCGTTACCTGAGAGATCGCTGAAGGTGGGCTGCGTTGTTCTTCAAATAGTGGTTCTTTTATAAAGGAAGGTAGTGCAGGTAAAGAGGGAAGAGATGGCAGAGAAGGGAGGGAAGGAAGTGATGCGATGGAAGTGAACGCTGTTTTCCACTCGGTGAGGTTTACAGCTGGCAGGAAGGACAGAGCAATGGTTGGACCGAGATACCATAAACCTAAAAACAAGAGAGGAGGGAAACCTTGGAAACAGGATCTCTAAATAACACAGTCTTTGTTCAAAAGCTCGTACATTTTAGTACTTTTTGGTACTAAAAACACAATCGTAATAGCATTTCAGGGCAACAACTTCACATCAGCGTTTTGAGGATGGAGAGAGAAAGAACGAACAAGAGAATGTGTGTGTTTGTGCAATCTTGGATAAGTGTGAAAGTAGAATAAGCAAAGCCATCTGGGTAGAAGTACATATGATTGCATAAGTGTGGCTGTTTATTAGTGCCAGTGGTTTTGTGAAGGAATGTCTGGATCATTACAATGGTTTCAAGCAAACTGAGATTCAAGCAGGAGAAGGTATTTTACCATATAAAAATGCTCTGTGACATGCTTTTGATTACCACAAAAGCACTTACAATGGAAGCCTAGCAAACAAGTGTGCATCAAGGTCCATATACATTTGAAATATGCAAATAAAAAAGGTAAAAATGTGTTCTCATATGCAAATAAGTAGAAGTCAAAGAACTAAAACAACATTTGCAAACATTGAATGTACTAAAATTAGTCAAGTGAAACAGAATCACTCAACCACTTCTGTGCAACTATACAGATTTTTTCTGTTTCTGAAAGAAACCACTTATGCTAACCAATATGGCATTTATTTGATCAGAAATACTATTTTCATGTTAGTATGTAATGCAAGCAAAAGGTCTTCCACCTGGAAAAGTAGTCCAACCTCAAAAGGACAGTTTAGACTTCATAAGATTTTTATAACATTAAAATATGTATTTTTTAAAGTTTCAGATTTTTTTTACATTTAAAGGGATAGTTCACTTTGAAATTATTTTTTGATATGTTTTAGCTTACCTCAAGCCAAGGGCATCCAAGATGTAGGTGTCTTTGTTTCAGCAGTACTTTCATATTTTCAGCATTTTTATATTTTTAGGTCAAACCGTTATTGTCTGTCAAAATATAATGGAGGTTTATGGGGTCCATTAAGTACACATTGATGGCCTAAGATCACTTCCGGGGCTTTTCGGAGCTTGCGCAGACCGAAGCGCCCGCCCCCTTTGAGTACATGGACGTGACTGTGATTACAAGAGGTAAAAACAATATAAGCATTGTTGGTTTTCTCACACAAACCGCTCGTTTCGTGTCTTAGGCCATCAATGTGTACTTACATTTATGAGTCATTAAATCATGTTTAATTTGGACTTCTCTGTGCATGCTCTTTGAGGTGGACCCATGGGTGGACCCCATATAACTCCAGTAGCCATTATATGACTGACTGACAGACATGAACGGTTTGACCTAAAAATAAACAAAGACGCCTACATCTTGGATGCCCTTGAGGTAAGCTAAAACATATCAAAAATTAATTTCAAAGTGAACTATCCCTTTAAGTGCATGTAAGAGCATGCATCAAAAATACATGCGTGGGTACATCACTGTAAGTGTTTTCAATAAGTCATACAGCATCTCACATATGCTGAAATTTAATAAATTGTATTATTCCTTTAACATTAAGTACTAATTATCCTCTAATGACAATATTACAAATCAATCCAACTCAAATCTCACCGAACAGCAGCAGGAAGGGTAGCAGAAACAGAAGAAGCTTCAGTAGTTTGGGCAGACACCTGACAGACAGAGAGAAAAATACTGTCAAAAAGATATAAGAAATAAAAGTAATATCCAGCAATATTATGGATTTGACTGCACTTTACATTATCAGATGAAAAGTTGAACTGAGCTGAAAAATGACACTGTTTTCTTCCACTTTACATCTGAATCAATTTTTTTTCTTTAAATGAATTTATGAATGGTTGTATGGATTTTACATCATCAACCCTGTTATTGTGTTATTGAACTAAACTGTCAACCCTGAACCAACTGGAGCTGAATAACGACACTATTGTCTTTAGTAAAGCTGCTCAGAGCTGAATTGAACTTGTTACATAATACATTTTACAGTTAGTGAATTGAATGGGCTTTATGCCCAGCTGCACTACTTCCTGAACTTCAGCCAGCTCCTTGTTTCCTGTCTGCCATTATTGGTCAAATTGATTAATTCAGGTGTGCTTGACCTCAGTAGTCATGGCAACAATAATCAGACACACCTGAATTAATCAATTTGGCCAATAATGGCAGACAGGAAACAAGGAGCTGGCTTAAGTTCAGGAAGTAGTGAAGCTGGGCATAAAGCCAATTGAGCTGAATAAGGATACAAATATCTTTTTAGAGCTTGTCTCAAATTTGATAAAGTTTGTATCTGTGATTGTTATTTTCCAGTTTATTACTGTGAAAATACTTGGAAATAATTTCAATTGTATAAAGCGCTTTAAAATTAAGATGACCTGACTAGAGTGTGTTAAAAAAAAAAAGAAGCAAAAGCACAATATTTACACAAAGGCCCAAACACTTTTAACTTTTACCTGGTGAGAAGAAAGACGTTGATCAGAGACATGAGCGCCACCAGCTGATACCATCCTGTTCCCAGCCACCAGAAGGCGCCAGTCGCTGCTTTCCCTGTTCAGAGCAGAAGAGGAAGTTACAATGGAGTGATAGCTAGTCCATGTTACACATTGACAGGTTTAAATGATTGAGGGAAGAGAATTATTAGTCAAAGAATCAGATACAGAGATGGATGCACTCGAATCACCAGAGCTGAAAAGTTAGGGAGGGAACTTCAGGTTAAAATGATTTCAGTCTTCAGAAAGAAGTCATATGGAGGCTCACTGTGCAGAAAACTAAATGATGTGAGAAAGAGGAGGAAGTGAGAGAGACAGGGCGAGCATGCTGGAGTCTGAATCATATCGACCTGGAGAACACAGTGCCAACCACAGCACGGACTTCAGCTTCCGAGTCACAAACGCACCGGCAGAGCCGAAGCTTCGGCAAACCCTCAGAAGACCGTAACCTGAGTCAACCAGAAGACATTCAGACAACATCCTGCTATCCAACACATCTTTCCCCCAAATTTCATTCTAGTGTCTTACATCTTACAACTAATGTCATGAAAGCTAACAAAAAGAAAAACACAAAAACATCTCTCCTGAAGCGAGACACTGAAGTCGATGTCTACTAGGAAGGTGTGTAAAGATCTGAAGGTGTATAACCTGTGTAAGAAACAAGGGCCCACAAGGCTGTGAATAGGTGGCGGGTGAAGGAATAGCGTTTATGCTCCATGTGTGTTTCCATGTGCTGCTTCCCTTTGTAGTCATCACCTATAAGTCAGCAGTGATGAAATCAACATCAGCATCACAACTTATATGAATAAAGTTGAGAATATACATTTATTAAATCTTATACTCAAAATGGTACACTACCATTTTGGGCCAGTAAAATATATACTTTTTGAAAGAAATTAATAATGTTATTCAGGAGCGATACATTAAATTGATCAAAAGTGATAATATTTATATTGTTACAAAAGGTTTCTTTAAAAAAAAAAAAAAAAAAAAAAAAAGCTGTTCTTTAAACTTTCTATTCATCGAAGAATCTTGACAAAATGCATCAGTTTTCACAAAAATATTAAGCAGGGCAGCTGTTTTCAACATATATTATAATAAGAATTTTGAGAACCAAATTAGTATGTTAAATTGATTTCTGAAGGATCATGTGTATATATATATATATATATATATATATATAAAAAACAAAACACAAGTCATGTCATGAAAGCTTACAAAAAGAAAAACACAAAACATCTCTCCTGAAGCGAGACACTGAAGTCGATGTCTACTAGGAAGGTGTGTAAAGATCTGAAGGTGTATAACCTGTGTAAGAAACAAGGGCCCACAAGGCTGTAAATAGGTGGCGGGTGAAGGAATAGCGTTTATGCTCCATGTGTGTTTCCATGTGCTGCTTCCCTTTGCAGTCGTCGCCTGTAAGTCAGCAGTGACGACATCAACATCAGCATCACAACTCATGGGAAGGAATACAACTTATAAATATAAATGAATGAATATAAATGAATAAAGTCAAGAATATACATTTAATAAATCATATACTCAAAGTGGGAGGTGTTGGATGTCTGTAATGTTGTTATGCTTTTCTAATGGACCCTGAGTCTGACAATAAAGTTGAACCGAACTGACCCCAAACTATTAAATGGTAGTGTATGTTAAAATATCAACCTATTAAATAATACAATCAAAATGACTGAAAACATAACATACATGCAATTAATAAAAAATAAAAAAAAAAACACTAAGCTGTAAAGGCAGGAAGTGTTTGCTAACTCAAAGGTGTAGATACTTGTCCCAATGACATTGGGTGGACAATTTGCCATCCTTTATCTCATTCAGAAAGGACCGTCACAAGCTCTGTTGATCATCAGGATTAGGTTCTGTCCTTAAAGTAGCCACTCAAAAACAAATAACCCCACAAATATCCTGTTGATGCCCTTTCACTACAGAAAAAAGTCCACATCATATGATTTGATAGTTCATTAGCAGTAGCTGCTGTAAATGTCTGCTGCTGAAGGACTGTGTGTACTTACAGAGGGAGCCGTTGAGATTGAGATGTCTGTCTGCGGTCGCCAGATCTCGCACGTTCACACTGCCACAGTAGCTGTCATGAGCTGAAACACACATACCACAAAAATCACCTAAAATCCCAGCATGCATTTCACTCCATTCAAAAGAGCAAACATGAATTTGCATAGCACTAAAACAGAATTACACAATGGACTTGAAAAAATCTTGAAATGTCCTCATACATTTAAGGTGAGGTGCTTATTGGTGAACCAGAAATTACATTACGTTTTTTTTAAATTATGGAGACGCATAATTCGATGTTTGCGAATTGACAAGATGGATGTCCTCCTCACCTGTTCTGTCATTGTCCACACTGTTCAGAGAGGTGGTCACAGTGCCATCTACAGCTGTCTGATGCACTGACGATGCGGAGTACGGTAAAGTGAACACTGTTTCATCCTCCTTCCCATCTGCGTGGAACGAACAGTCCTTACAGATGTAGCCGTTAGCCAGATTAGCATGCGCCTCCGTTTTACTGGCATCTCCATTCTCCAACAGAGAGCTGTTAGCCGTTCTTCGTCTCAGTGCTGAACACAACATTAAGAAAAATAACAAATAAATCTCAAGCACACTGTTTAAGAAGCCCTTTTACAAAGTCTTGATTTTGTTCCTGGGTCTACTAGAATATGCAGTGAACTCTGATTGGTTGGGTGGACAAGTGTCTTGTGATTGGTTAACAGCTTCGAGTGCATTTCAGGAATGTAATGACCCTTTTACCATAAACGCAAGTTCCATCACACGACTAACTCAACCAGGCTTGGAACATTTATTTTGCGTATGCCTTAAGTGGTAATTGTGTCCTGTTTATCCCTAGAAAGAAATCAAGACAACAATTGAGGCTTTCAGAAACAGTGTTTACTGATATAGAGAATAACTCCCTTCGGAGTGACTTTAAGGTTTGTAACTTTGCAGAGCTTTTTCAAGCTCAAATAGCAACATTAGACACTAAAGAAAGTTGAAAATGTAAAAAAAAGGTCCTTTTTTAAACTGATGTGAAACGCAAAGGAAAGAGGATGTTATTTACTCTGCTAACTTAAACAAAATCTTGAACTTCTATCATAAACAGTTGAAGAGTTCAGATGCAAAAGCCTCTAAATGCCATTTGAAATTTTCTTCTAAATTTACCATTTTTATCAAGCTTGTATATTTAAGTTCAGTAATTTCACTTAAATGAAAATTAATAGGTAATCTTCATTGCCATTTAAGTGAAATTACTGAACTTAAATATACAAGCTTGATAAAAATGATCATTTTAGAAGAGAATTTCAAATGTCACTTAGAGGCTGTTGCATCTGAACTCTTCAGTTGTTTATGCATAGTTTATATAGTCGGGCTTATGTAAGCAATAGCTACAGTGTGACATTTGCCTAAAATAACAACAATTACAGTTTTCACAAACTTATAAGCACCAATTATTCGTGCAGAATTTAACATGCAAATGTGTTTTGACTTCATGTTGGCTGTGCGTGCACGTGAAAGGCCACTGACCAGAGTACATGTGTGTGGTGGAGCTCTGTCTGAGCGTGGATGTGTCCAGCAGGCTGGAGATCAGAGACGCATCACTGGCGGTACTGTTGAAGCTCAGGTCTGATGTGTTCTGGTCGTTCTGTGGAGTCTGAGTCCCGCTCTGAGACTCGTACATGGACGACCCCTGCTGCTGCCTCCTGCTCCGCACAGACCTGCGGGACAAAATACGCCGGGTCAGTACATTTCAAAGTGAGGACCAAAGTCATTTGTTGCTGCCAAAATTTTTGCATTGGCATCATGTGGTATATGGAAATATGTAAAGAAGATTTTGCTCTGATAGTGAGGATCATGAGGGAAGATCATATGATCGTTAATGGCAAAATTCACTGTTCATATCTGCTACTGGAAGGAATTCAGTTCATCTATATGTTTGTCTGTCTATCTATCTATCTATCTATCTATCTATCTATCTATCTATCTATCTATCTATCTATCTATCTATCTATCTATCTATCTATCTTTTTTTTCTCTTATGCTTACCGATGTGAATTTATTAGAATAAAAATACAGTATACATTTTGTGAAACATTATTACTTGGTAAAAAAAGATCTAATATATAGTAAAATGTAATTTATTCCTGATCAAAGCTGCATTTTCAGCATCATTACTACAGTCTTCAACACATGATCCTTCATGATCCTTATTTGCTGCTCAAGAAAGAATTTTTATTAATGTAGGAAAAAGTTGTGCTGCCGGAAAAATGTTTTTGAGGGAATTGTTAATTTTTTTAAATATGGACATTTTTAGCAAACAACTTTGTAAACATAAATAAACACATGGAACATATTAAAATAATTTAAGCAAATCCATCTCATGACCTCTTTAATGCATCCTTTATAAATAAAAGTATTAATTACTTATCTTGACCCCCAGCTTTAAATGGTAGTGTATTGGGAGTCAATGTTGGACATTTGTGCCTTTCTACTCTGACTAAAAACTTTGGGGTTTAGGACATATTATATTTCTAGACTGGAGCCTGTATCACCCACACAGCTAAACATACCAGAAGCATATGCATTAACCACTATGCAAAAGCTTTAATGCATCAATTTTTAGTGAAAGACAAAATAATATTTGTCCAATTTATTTAAAACAAAAAACAATTCAATAAATGTGCATGCTTAAACATCTTTAATGGGTCATTAATCTGACACAAAATTAAGTACTGGCAGGCAAGTTGTACAAACTTGCTGTAAGTCATGTCAAATATGCGCTGCCAGCACTGATCGCACAAACATATCTTTTGGGGGGGATTTCTGTAAGGTTGAAAAGATGGAATTTTCACTATGTCATTCATTTATCTTCATTCGTTTAACTCAAGCACTAACATGTCAGTAATTGCAGGACAACCTCTCTTACTAGTGCAAGTTGTAATGCTAACTGTCACTACTTGTATATTTCTTAAATCTATAGTTGCGGAAAAGCAAAAATGAATGCATATACATTTTAAGATAAACTTCTTTTCCTTAAAGAAAAGGTGTCCACAGTAATAAGATAAATAGATACATTTAATGGCTTTAAGAGATTAATTTGCCACATGATTCATTTGGCAAAAACAGAACAAGGATAATTTAGTCCTCACGTAGAGTAGTTGCTGGTATGAGACTGTGTGGGTTTACCGATAAGAAGTCATGTTTTACACTCGTGTTGTTATCTCAAACTGACAGAGTGATGAACATCTGACCTGTTGACTTTGCTGCTGCTGGTGGTCATGGTGGTGGTGCTGGTCCGCTTGTGGGAGCTGACATTGTGATTCCCCGTGAGCTCAGTGAAGCTGTTGTCACCATAAAAACCACTGGTTGTCTGTAGTCTCAAACTACGCCGTGACATTCTGGGCGAGTCGTACACAGGATTGATTTTGTGCTCCTTCTCAAACTCGAGGGCTGCGGACGAGTAACTTGAACTGTAGAGAAGATAAAAAAAACCCATAAATATTATGTTCAACAAAATTGTCACATGATATAACTAGGGATGCATGATATATCACGGGAAACACAGGAACATTCCAAACCGATGGAATGTAATGAACTTTTCAAAGAAATGAAAATACTTTTAAAGCTCTCTAAGGCTATAATTACAAGTGGCAAAAGTTTTGCACGGCACCTGCCCAAAATCGCCCAGCCTTTCAAACCGGGTGTTTCAGTGAGGGAAGAGAGGCACAAAAGTGGCCTAGGGCAACTACAGGAGAATCCTCCGTTAAAGAAATGGGAGAATGAGTTGACAAGATGACAACTGCGCACAAACCTGTCTAGCTCAATAAATCTGACTTCTGCTGCAAGAAAGTCTTTGTTTAAAAAATAAAAAATAAAATCACATTTTATCTTGGCTAAAGATGAAGAAAGTCAGAAAGCTTTAAATTAACGAATTAGTTGTTGGTGTGAGATGTTTTGGCATAAAGTAAAAGTTAAAGATACAAAGCAATCAAAATCAGTAATTCACATTACATTCAATACTTGCAAAAACAAAAATGATTTATGAACACCTGAAGGGAACTAGAGGGTTGTGACATGACGAAAAGTGAACCGTTATAATCACTTAAATTCTAAAAATGTAAAATCAAAATAAATATTTTCAAATAATTTTCAAATTTTAAACTTCAATATTTCATGTGACCATGAACTGACATCAGAGAACCAAGAATTTATGTGTAGTTAAATTAAATATTAACTTAAAATATTTATATTTATTTATATTGAGATTTTGGGAATAACACTCTCAAACACACTGCTAAACAAACACTTTCATAAACATCAGAATACTATATTAATTAAGTGCAGAAAAAGGGTCAAAATCACATTACATTCTAACATTCTAACAACATTACAATCTAAAAAACAAAAATAATGATTTTTAAAGCAGAAGTTAAATTAACTAAACTAAAAATGTTAACCGGTAAAAGGAACACACATTCACTCATCTGAGCTTAGTAATTTTATTAGCCTACATTTGATTACTCCACTACTATGGTCACTTTACAGTTATTGCCATCATAAAATACAGTTAATTGTAGAGTTAAAAATTACACATATGGCAAATTTAATTTATTAGCAAAATGTACAACACACCAGTGGTTCTCAATAGACCCACCGCTCTGCACATTTTGTATGTCTCTCTTCTCTGACACACTCAGTTCAGTTCATAGAGTCTATCCTAACGATCTGAATCAGGTGTTTTAAATAAGGGAGACATACACAATATGCAGAGCAGTGGGTCCCGAGGACTGGAGTTGAGAACAACTGCAATACACCCATGTTTTATTTCTCAGCTGGAATGGGAAGCAATAAGTGGAATAGAAATGCACGTGTTTAATTGAATCCACAGTTCATTGACATTTAAAACAGGGTCTAACGACTCTGGCATTAAATCTCATTTCATAAACATGAGCCAAGTGTGGCATTGCCATCCTAAACTGTCACGAGGATATACTAGAGCTGCATGATTCGGATAAAAGATTGCATTCTCGATTCAAACACCCACGTAATCTCTTTCCTAAATGACAATGATTCACCTGTGTCTATCAAACCTTTGAAAAAAAAAAAAAAATCTCAAAAATATTATACAGCATAATCATAAGAAATGTTTCTTCTGAAGGATCATGTGACACTAAAGACTGGAGTAATGATGCGGAAAATCCAGATTTGCATCACAGGAATAATTTTTATTTTAATAGAAAAGGTTATTTAGAATTTGAATCATTTTACTGTATTTTTGATCAAATCAAAGATAAAGCCTCTGTGAACATAATAAACTTCTTTTTAAAGCATTAAAAAAAAAAAATGTATCAAGCCTAAACTTTTCAACGATGGTGTGTATGAAATCAGAATACTTTTATAGACAAAACTGCTTGTAGATTTGTAAAATAGACACACTTCTGTTCATAACTCATTCCAAGCCAGTTGACATGGCCAAATAAATCTCAAAAAGGCCAAATCAAAATATTACTTATTCAGCAACAATCACTAATTAACAACTTAACCCACTGAGCTGGGCACAAGTCATGCGTAAACAACACCACAGTGTCCAGAACACAAAAGCACAACATAAACCAAGAAACGGAAATGAGAAACATCTTAAAATAACAGTCCCTTAAAGGCTGTCTTTCCTGTGAGAAATACCCACTGGATGTGCGCCAAATCAGATTAGCTCCACCCCTCCCAAAGCTAACACTTCACAGAATTACTAGAAGGCACTTTATCTTCAACATACACAATCTCTAACCTTCAGCAATATGACATCATCCATGTTATATCAAATCCTGAATGATTTCTGGCATTGCAGCTGGTTTATTATTAGCGTAGGAAATGAAAGGGCTCCGTTACAATAAACGAGAATATACTACTAATGAATACAGAAACTAAAAATAAGGGCTGCACAATTTGGAAAAAAATCTAAAAAAAAAAAAAAAAAAATCGAATTGCTTCAAATAAAAAAAATAAATAAAATAATAAATTTTATCAGATAAAATTGCCATTAAGAATTTTTAAAAATTTAATATTGCATTGTAAAATTACAATACTGATATTTACGGCTGTCTAAAAGGGATAGTTATGATATAATGAGTCGGCGTTCTGACGTAGAAACCGGAAGCGCTGCACTGTGTTCATTACGTGATCAGCGTAGGAGACTGACATGGACGAACAGAAACTGTTGAATAAAGTCAATATTTTTGTTGTTGTTCTTTGCACACCAGAAGTATTTTTGTCACTTCATAACATTAAGGTTGACCTTTGACCCACTGTAGTCATATGGACTATTTTAACAATGTCTTTACTACCTTTCTGGGCCTTGAAAGTTGCTGTCTGTGGATGGTTCAGAAACCTCTCGGATTTCATTAAAAATATCTTCATTTGTGTTCTGAACGAAGGTCTTACGGGTTTGGAACGACATGAGGGAGAGTAATTAATGACAAAACTTTTATTTTTGGGTGAACTAACCCTTTAATGTCTTTATTTTCAAACTTTAAACCATCGTTAAACCGCAAAGTTAAGTAAAAAACAAAACAAAACAATAGCTAGCTTATAAAACTTTAAATACTAAAGTCTGTAAACAAATACAACAGATTTCCTCTGCGCAACTGCACACTAGGAAGCTTTTTTTAAACAAAGTCTTGAAGGAGTTTTCATGCATTCCTTTATTATCAAGCCCGTAATTTCAAAAACATATTAACATTTTAGCTTCGAAATGAAAATCATATGCAGGCACAATTTATGAGGGTCTAAAAATAATTTCAAGCATTCTGAACAAAAACTTGTCATTGTAGCTGCACATCAACATCAGCGTGAATGACGCTTAACACCGCAGAGATTTACTGCTCGACATTTTATTGCAGCATCGTGCATGGTTAAGACCATATTAGTATCTTAATTACTCGATTAGCACAGTTTTTAGTGCAGATGAAGACTTACAAAAGGTCAACCACCTCCCCAGAATCTATCTTCCACACACACACACACACACACACACACACAGACTAGTGACAGTAGGAAATCTGATTAGCGAGAAGAGAACACACGAAGCTCACAGTGAGATTAAGGACCTGAGGGCTCACAAGCGTCTGAGCTCAGGGCTTTATTTCAGAGAGGCACTACAGTATCTGAGTGGGTTTGACATCAGCTCCTGTTCTACAGGTCAACAAGCAGCGTCTTGCTCCACTTCAGTATCATTACTGCATCAGCTGACCCTCTTGACCAATCACTCGCTTCCCACTTACTATCTCAAATACTTCATCCCTCTTCCTTCACCTTATCATGATATTAATTCAGTCATACTCGCTGTCAATACTTATATAAGAATGCACTGATTTTTAAATAATAACAGAATAAGCCAATGATTGGCTTAATAGGAATTGCGAAGTTCCAATGCATGGAAGTTTTGTGTTAGGCTAATAAAATATTAAAACTCAAATCAATATTTGAAAATCTTGGTCGACTGAAGACCTGAAATTTTCAACTAAAAATTATGTTCGAGAAAAAAAAAAAAAAAAGTAAAATTAATTAGCTGTGCACAGTGCACAGCACTTGGTAGCCTTGTTGTTGGCCTAAACAAATTATGAATAAACATAAAAACTAGTAGTTTATTAAATTATTTTTGACCTAATTGTTTTGCACAGAAATGAGTCTGTCGGCTCTGACAGCCAGCGTAGCATTACGTGCACCAGTGCAATATCGAATATCCGAAAATAGTACCACGTTGTCAACTAGTGATATCAGCACAAGAACTGCTGAGGAATATGCAACATATTTGCATACAATTATTTTAGTCATATGTTATAATAATAAGTTTGTGCTCGGCTTTTCCAGCTTCCAGAAAAAAAAAAAACAGAGAATTACTATCAAACAGAAAAATGTGATGTGGTTATTTAAATTCAGTGATATCATTTCCTCTTTTACAGCTCAGCTAAAGCAGAACATAACCCCTATTAAGTAACTTCAGTGCATTCAGCACACACACACACATTATCGTACAGCTGTCAAACACTCCAGCAGCTGCTGAGTGACACTGTGCAGAGCCATACACACTTATTCCTGTAGAACTATTCCCTTCATACAGTACACTTTCCCAGAATGCACATCCTCTACCATCTCACTCTTAGAAAAAAGGGTTCTATATATGAAGCATATGGTTCTTTACTCAACTGCAAAGGACCTTTTATGCAAAAAAAAAAAATGATGATAATGACAAGAAAGAATTTTTAACCTCCATATCTTGAATTTTGTGATCATACATGCATTGCATTTTAGAGGTTCAAAATACGTAGCGCTTTAGAACCTTTTAAGGTTCTATATAGAACCTTTTCTTCTAAGAGTGTGCCTAACATTTTAATGAATCCCTAGTGTTCCACCCTGATGTCCAAATCAGAAGCAGCTATATTAAGAAAATGTATTTCTTGGTGTTTCTGTCCCAGTTTCACACACTCTCTGAATATGCAACATGCGACACATAATTTGAACAAAAATATGCATGAAAAGCACAAACTACTGATACACTGGAAACAACTGTTTGCGACCAACACATAAACTGCACTGCGTGCCAAATAAGAGTGAAAATTAACTCACCCTTTACTCTGCCTGTACTTGTACTAGTAAAAATGTATAGTTTTAATTTTAAAATTTCACAATTGTATAGTTAGATACAATATAATGTATGTTTTAAGTTAAAATGAATAACGTAAGTGAGACGAGAAGACATGAGAGATACTACTTCTCATTTTTAGCTAAAATAGGAAAAAAAAAATATATCTTTGTCCCGCAGCTCAAACAGGCGACTGAGCAATATTTGCATGACTCAATGAGCGCCACTGTTTGTCAAAAATATGCAAGGAGGAAATTATTGCAGTCACACACAAAATATTGATAAACATGTACTTTAAAAATGAACAAAATGATATAAAAGCTGTATGTCACGTGAAAAATATATTTATGGTCAGTAGATTTTCACAATTAACCTGATATTGTGAAAAGCGCTATGCAAATAATAATAAAAGATATTTTGGCACATACTCAATTTTGGAAGCAGCTAATATATCATTTCTAATGATTTTCCTGGGCAACTGTCTCTGTTAAAGAGGCATTTACATTCCCCTTGTGACTGCATAAGGTAAATCATTTCAAAGGGATCCAGTGGGAAAATGCAAGTAGAAAACATTAGTTTTCACAAGCGCTCAACAAGCAAGTCTTGCCCTACTCTCGCCGCGCTGCTTTCTCTGTTGAGCTCACACAATAACTCTTTGTAAGCTTGTCTTCCCTATGTGACACGCGTTGAGCAACTCGAATTCGTCACGTCTCTCTGAGTGCCAGCGGCAGATGGCTCAACGGTTTGTCACTCGATCCCACTTCTTTTTACGATGGTTTCTGCCTGAAGAACACAGTCTTGCAACCTACGCTGACACACTCATATGTGTGTATGTGTGCGTGCGCACAATGGCACTCACTGAAACAATCCTGTACAACAACCAATCAGACAGTGCTTCAGTATGTGTGTAGTAGACGAAACTGTGGTGCTCATTCTCACAGACACGCAGAACATGAAGACTTCAGGTTTCAATAGCAGTGTTTTTGAGCTTAAATATTCACAGATAGTACTAGTCCATATCGCAATTTGATTCATTGTACTGCTTATTTTTGATTTAATTCATCCAAAAATTTGGTGACATTCCGATTTATACAATAAACGCCTGTACACACCTGTTCATTTTTAACTAAAACGATAAAAATCTAGTTTGGAAAGATTTCAGAAAGATCTTTTTCCAGCTGATAAAAACACTGACAGCCAATCAGAATTCAACATGCTTTAAAGAGCTTGAATATTTAAGAGGGAAGACTAAATAACTGCTGCTGCACATCACGGAAATCATAGGGCTATTCATGGTGTTTGCAATATTATAGAGAATTAGCTGTGTGGATTGTTTATTGTTGAATTATAAAGTTATAACCATAGGGTATGCAGATAAAAGAGGTCCCCTCTCAATACACTCACAACATATCGCTAATCATGCATGGCCATTGAACAGATGCAGCAATTGCTTCAGATATGCATCGTTATGGCAGTATTTGAAAAAACAAAACAAAAATAAAAACATCATACACAAAATTGAAACCGAAATACCAGATGAATCGGTATATTGACCAGCACTAGTTTTAAACTGTGATAACCAGATGAAATAAAAAAAAAACTTAAATATGTCATAATACATCTATAAGTGTTGCAGCGTTAAAATGCAATAGACCTGAACTTTCTGATACCAGTAATGTTTTACTAACTTTACTAAATAACTAACTGTCACTTAATTGAACGATATGTGCAGGGTATATTCAGTATATACAGTTTTAGCATCTCTAATTTTTTAATGCTAAGCTTTTAAACTAATATTTATTTTACTTCAGTCATATTCAAAAAAAAAAAAAAAAAAAAAAAACTATATACCATAACCAAATATTGTTTTAATAGTTAACAATAACACTGCAACAACAAAAACAATAACAATTTATTATTATTGTAAACATTTTAGGCCTGATCTGACATCAAATAAATAAATAAATCAAAAATAAAATTGGATGCCTGCATTTTTTTTAATTAAATGGACATTACATATTACACAAATGTCCATTTTTATACTTTTAAAAAATATAGAATTTATAGTTATGTGATGTGTGAAAACTATTGAAACTTGAACTCAACTTTAACAACATCTGGTTTAATAATCCTGTTAGTATAGTGTTACACAAACTAGGACCGGCACGATTTAGCTGGAAAACTGGTATCAGTTAGTGCAGCCATGGGGTACAAATCGTTATCTGCATACAAACGTCAACACAGTCGAATTTACGCTGTTTCTGCTGATCTAAAATACTCTTTATAACCAATAGTAGGCTATACACAAATTCACATTACCTGGCCATTAACTGATAACTTAAGGTGCAACCTCATAACTTGCCCCAGGTAAATAACCACACCTGCTGTGCTGCCATCCAACCCTCTCACCTGGCTCTTGACAGCCATGGAAAAATCTACACAGCTGAACAAAACGACTAAACACTCTCAGAAAAAAAGGTACGAAAGCTGTCACTGGGGCGGTACCTTTTCAAAAGGTACACTTTTGTACCTAAAGGGTGCATATTGGTACCTTCATGGTACAAATTTGTACAATTATGGTACCAATATGCACCCTTTAGGTACAAAATTGTACCTTTTGACAGCTTTTGTACCTTTTTTTCTGACAGTGAATAATGACTAAAACAAACAAGAAACTAAAGTATGAAATGGACCACAAACACAGAATGGTAGAACTAACGAAGTTATCATCACATACTTTGTCTACAACCACAAACTTACATGATTTGAGCAAAGAAACAGGTTCAACAGGACATGGAAATTCTCGGAAAATCATTAGCTGAGGAGGAGGAAAGTTCAAACATAATCACACAGAACCCTGTACGGTTTACTGGGAATGTAAACTAAGATGTGCTACACACACACAAAAAAAAAACACATTTGGGAAGTTCACTGCCTGTAGTTCCACCCAGTAATGTTTTTTTCATTTTCACAGTGACCTCACCTGAGTGAATAGGTATAGCCCGTGTTATCCGGAGTGCAGTGAGGAGGAGTATACGTGTGCAGAGGGGAAAAATCCATGGTAACTCGCTGAGCACGCTGTGAAGACCAAACCAGATGTGAAGAGCAGACTTCGAAAACTACGGCGACAGCTAACGTGTGATGATGGGTGTGACCTCGATGCATAAACAGAGTCACACCCATGAAAGCATGCACACACACACACACACACACACACTCTACGCTTCAGCCTGCCTCTGGGAGGAATCCCGATGAGCAACATGGTAGCAACTTTTGTTTAGTCTGGTACAGGTGATTGAACATAGAAGCTAGTAGAGTGACTATGTAAAACACCTTTTTCATAGTAAATTGTGCTTATTATTAAATATGCAAACAAGTCATCTGATATTGTCAAAGCGAGCAGGAAGTGACGGACACAAAAAAAACAACACTGTCCAGGGTGACTCAAGCAAACAGGAGTGAAAGTGCATATAGACTTCAACATTACACAGACAATGACTCTACAACTTTTCCAACCAGTCATAATTACTGAATGTAAACTTAACATATTTACAGAAATTGCTTTGTACTAATAAAAATTGTATTTTAGAGCTGAACATATTTGTTCACAATAGACATTTTGGTAAGACTTTACATTATATGACAATTAAAGAATTACGTATCATGAAATAAACATGAACAATATTTGCACAGCGATTCATTTTGAGATAATACATTTGACATTTAATAAAAAACCTCAAGATAAATGTATACATTAAATACTAAACATAAGCTAATGTATTATACAAACATATATTGCCAACGAACAAAATTAATTATATATTTTTTGTTATATATTAATTAAATTAATGTAACATTAATGTGTTTTGTGTACCATGTATAATTATTTTCTAATTATAAATACACACATGTATAACATTTAAGAAATATTTGCATGTATTGTATATATATTTATATTACATATAAATACCACATTTTTCTTAACTATATACATGCATGTTTGTGTATTTATACAAAATAATTATACACCATATAATTCACAGCCTCAGTTCACAATAACGCATTAAACACTGACGAATCAAAATGGACTAAAGTGTTACTGAAATTTCTAGTGAATATACAGTAAAAGCTCAGCTATGACCATAATTTCAAAATCCCTTAGTTTTGTATGGTTTTATTTGTTATGCACTATACCTAATTAAATACTTTGTTTAGGTATAATACACTAGTAGAGCTTTAACTTTCAACTAAACTCATTATCAAGTTGACATGAAATCAAATGGATCCGAATCGTCCTTGTGGTTTTAAGCATCTGAACAAACAGAACACTCTAGGATCAATAACCCTTAATATGAAGATAATATTCACATGCGAAATTACCCAAAGTCAAATATCCTGTTCATTTTGTTTACCTTTTCCTCTAACTGCATGTCTTGTCAATCTCCATACCAGAGGAGATCTAGAAAACCCCTCTCCAATACCCAAGAGACAGGCTGAACATCCAACATTTTACACCTATTTTTCTTCACTAAACACACATTTCACAACACAAGCAATTATGTTCCAAGCATGACATGCCACTAATAGTGCCATAAAACAAGTCAATGGTGAAAGCCATGAGCTCCTTTCTTTGTGCATAAGGCAGACAAAAAGGAGGTCAGGATTTATGTCTCTATCTTGACCTAGTCACACCTATATGAGCCTTTGCATCTTTATCTCTTGTGGATGAGGAGCATTTGCATTTATGACCATGATAACTAAGCGCACAACTCTCCAGATTTGACGTCTCTGCAACATTTGGTTCCGTTTCAAAAACTAGTCCGCTGTCTTCCTAGACAACAGTTTTAAACAACGAGTTACATCGTTACAACGAAACGCGTTATGAACATACGGATAATAAACTCGCATTTGTATATCATGTAACTTTCGATTGGATGTCTTAAAAAGCGATTCGACTTCATTGTTTAGATTGAGTGTGCGATGCTATCTAGGTAGGAAACTCTAGGTTTTGACACGCAGCTTTGAATTGCAACACTGTAGCAGCGCAATTATTGTGTCTCAATGCGTAAAGGGGTTTGTGCGCACTTCACAAGTGTTTACATTAGAAAACGTAAAACATAATAAATCATATAGAAATTAAACCCTAGTTGGGCGTGTATGACAGTTAATCCAGGGCCATGTATTCTGTCAAGAGTTTGGAAAGAAAGGAGCTTCACTGACTGTCAACCAGTAGCCTATATTACGCGTAAAATATCAACGTTTCTGTCCATAAAGGTTTGAATGAAATCATAAACGACATCAAAACATTCCAGCACTTGCCAGTTTGACCATCAGTTTCTATAATCTCCCGTTGTTTTGAAGATAGTCCCGTTCAGAAATGACAATCCAGTTCAAGGATGCGCAAATGTGTGTCGCATCTCGACGGCAATATAAAAATAAAATAGAAATAACCATGTATCCAAACGCCCGATCCAAATTCCGCGCTCGTTGTGGGAATAGATAAAAGTTACGTGCTTGACTCACAATAACTACAAGGAAAATCCCAAAATGGCTTCCATAACAGAGTAAAGCCAGACGGATAAAGTCGCACAAACGTTCCTCCTATTTTCCAGAATCAACTGTCAATCAACGGCATACTTTGAATCTATTGGTGGAAACACGAGAGTCACGCCTTCCGGCTTGACGTCACTCAGCACTGGATATTGGGATTCAGATATTCAGATGGGCCCGTCCGTGAAGCTGTCAAGAGACGTGAATACGAGCATTTGGAGTTCAATATAGACTGCAAATAAATGGTAAACAGTGCCAATCTTTACGAATAAAAGGCTAATTTAATTCTAAAGAACAATCTAAATCCAACTTTTACCACATGAGGTACTTTGTTGGACAAATCAATGTCAAAATATGCATGCAAAATATTAAAAATGCAATTTATAGATTAACACATTATCAAGTCTTACATCAAATCTCATAAAACAAAAATGAATGTAAATAAGATTTTTATCATCTTTTTATTTGCCACTGACTGATAGACTGACTGATGAGATTAAAGGATTAGTTCACCCAAAAATGAAAATGATCCAATAATTTACTCACCCTCTCAGGCCATCCTAGATGTTTATGGCATTTTTCTTTCAGCCGAACACAATCTGAGTTATATAAAAAATATCCTGGCTCTTCCAAGCTTTATAGTGGGAGTGAGTGGTACCTTGTTCAGCGTTCGTGTCAGAGGTCACTCTTCCGCCTGGAAGCCATAGTTAATAAAGGTATAAATTTGTTTCAGAAGGCCTTTATTAACCCTATATGGATTACTTTTATAAAGGATGGACACACTATAAAACAAGGTATCATTCACTCCCATTATAAAGCATGGAAGAGTCAGCATATTTTTTAATATAAAACAATTGTGTTCATCTGAAAGAAGAAAGTCATACACCTGATGGCTTGAGGGTGAATAAATGATGGGATAATTTTCATTTTTGGGTGAACTAATCCTTTAATTCATCCAGTTTTCTTTACCAATCCACTCTGTGCCAAAGTTTATAAGCAGCTATTACACAATTAGCTTAATTTGCGAAACAGAAAACCTCAAGTTTTGCAATATTAAGCAAAGCAATCCCCAAAGCGGACACAAAATGGGAATAGAATAGATTTCTCTCTACTCTAGTTTTAACACACAAAGGCATTCAACAATCAGTCAATCGCACAAGAATCTAACAATTTCTTTGCAAAACCCAAACCACTAGCTATATAGAAAATTGCTAAAACACAATAGGCCAGGAGAGCCTGTTTACTAAAGACAACTTCAGATGCAAAACATTGCAGTGCAAAAACAGTTACAGCAGATGCTAAAGAAAGACCTTACTCAACATTTGTGGTGAAATCGTTTCTTAGTGCCAAGAAACACAAATGCTCTCTGCAGTCATTTTGCATATAGAGAAGATCCACAACAACTGTAGCCTATTCATTTCTTTTAGAAACAAAATTGGACTTGTCCCAAACAATGCTTGCCGATTTTGCAGTTGGCTCTCAGTCTACAAGTGAAACTTTAATACAATTCAAAGGTCACATTATGCCCTTTATAAAGTAAACTACAACAAGATAAGATTTATGGGTCTCTTGGTGATATTGCAAGATTTTATTTGGCAACTAACGTTACAATTCACTCAAAGTCACATACGCGATGCAACAGCGCCACCCACTGGCCGTTAAAGGCAGTTATGTTAAAACAGATCACGGTTATACATATTTGAAGACTGAATGTGCGTTCAGGGTGGAGTTACCGCCTTATAGCTCATAATTCAAGCTCACTTCTAGGGAACAAATGAGATTTTAAAGTAAACTGAGAGATAATGCTGTTACACACTAATTTTATATCTGAATTCACCTTCGTTAACTGATTTTCAATACTTTAAGACGTCTCTGTTTGTTCACTATCATTTAAAAGTGTCAGAGACCCACAACAATCCATTATTAAAATGAGTCGGTATAATCATAAATCACTTACTGTTTGTTTGGTTTGCTTTCTTCCCGAGGTAAGTTAAGTTAACGTTGACTTCTGCAAACTCGGCCAGGCGGTGGCAGTTGTCAAAGTCCACTGGTTTGTTGGTGGTGAGTCATACAAATACAAACGGTTAACTTAAAATAATGAGCTTGGAAATCGACGACCGAAATGATTTCTGTAAGAGCCGCTTCCACTTCCAGTTCACTGTCTGTCTCTAAGTAAAACACGAGTAAACAGTGAAGTTTAACGCCGCCTCCGCGATGTCCATCCACACAGACACACACCAGTGCGTTTTGAGCGGTGAATGACTGGCGCGCGCAGCAAAGCAAGCCACGCCCACACCAACTGACGCGCATGACAGTCCTTGGATACGACCGACAAACAAATGAATTTTATTTGAGCAGTTGTGAATGGCTTATTAACAATAACTTTACATGCTTCGTTTTTAATCATTTTCAAGCAATTGTTAGATTTTACTACAGTGGAATTATTATGTTTAAAAATGCAATTAGCTGTGATGTGCTGTGGTGTGAGAATGTCACACCATTCCCTGTTTTGGCTATGTAAAATATCATAATAAAAACATTATATAAATTATTAATAAATATTTTTTTTTTGCCTAATTAATAAATTATATGTGATTTTCTCTCCATGCAAAGTAAAAAAATAGGCCTCCATGAATAGATCATTATTATTTTTTTCTTCAAGTTTCCTCAGAAATAACTGCAGGAATTACAGAATTGTTTTTTTTTTTTTTTACTATACAGGATTTAAAAGAAATGTATTTATTTATCGTATTTATGTATTCATTGATTAATTGTAATAATAAATTATGATGAAAGCATAGCCTTGCGGAGTTATTTCCGTTCAGAGGAGGAGTAAAGTAAATTTAAAGGGCTACTGCACTAAAATATAATGCAGATATGAATCACATCTGTATCATAAAAATGCATCTGAAGGAATCTTCCTTTGATTTTACGTCCAAGTGAATGCAGAGGATGACGGCGAGTGAACGGGGCGGTGCTGATGAAGACCATAAGACAGACAGAGACAAGAGACCCTGAACTGAAGGACAGATGGCTAGAGGTCTAGGATATTAAACCCATCTCCTGCGGACACACTATGACCTTCGTCATGTGAATATAGAGGAAACAACTAGCCTCGTTATCATTCTCAACGTAATTACAGACAAAACAGGAAACCATTACGCGATTTGCATCTGTACGTCCAATATAACATCAGCACAGTGGCATCATACATGTTACAGTCACATCTGTGGTAGAGGAAAGCCTTTTACTGGTACACTTTGTTTATTTTGTGTGTGTGTCATTTATTCAAACGAAGCTCCATCCTCCATTGCGACATAAAGGTAGGTGCTGATGCTGAGATTTTAACATCTGTGCGTGATTATCTGTTAGCAAATACATTTGAGGAAAGATCAGTGGAATGCGGATCGATTGATAGCATTGAGAATCTGTTTAAAATGCCAATCTAAAAGCTTGCATTGCAGCTGACCGAATAGGAACGACAACTTGATTTTATTTACTGTCATATAACACGTGCTCGGACGTTTACGATTCATTGTAAAGACCGTTCCAGTTGTGCAGACCGCTGTAAGAAAACATGGACAGCTATGAGGATTTCTGCGCACGCATTCTGTCACAACTGCAGTCGGAAATGATGCATGAGATGAGCTGCAGTACCGCACCTGAGCGAGGGGTGGCGCACTCTCTCATCCGCCTTCATGGCAGGCCACTTCTGTCTCCGGTGGTGAGTATTTATATTTATGTTACTGCATGACTGCAATACATATGATATATTAAACTTTCAAAAGCAAAAGAAAGAGGGAGCACAATAAAATATAATATAAATAACAGTTGTAATTATAACATTAAGCCTAAATAGAGTATTGTCTCCCTTTCAATTGTCTAATTGTGATTCGTATTATGCCTATTGTGTTTCCAGCTAAGTGAGAAACAAAGAAGGGAGATGGTTGAATACAGGAAAAGAGCGTCACTAATGGAGGCAGACAGACAGATTCATTATAATAATAACTTCCGCAATCAGATTCAGGCCATTCTTTGGACCAATAAGGTAAGAAAATAAGTGTTTCTTTGAATAACAAGTACTTTTATGTCCTGGATTTATCTATTTTTATAATCATGAATAGATTTTGAAACTGATTTTTCTAAACTAATAAATTAGAAAACTTTTTTCCCTTTTAAATTATCTTTTTTTTTATCTTTTACGCATAGATTTTGTTTTTTCTACCCAGATATTCATCTATGAAAATTCATATATATATATATATATATATATATAATTTATTAATCTATGTTATAATTGTTAATAAATATATCAATAGATTTCAACTTTTTATTTTTGTTAAAGTTGAAGGCATACTTTTTTTTACCATGCATCCATTATTTATTTATTTTCCTTTAGCATCCATTATTTATTTATTTTCCTAAAGAAGATATTCATTTATCTTTTTAATTCATAGAGATAACATGGAAAATGTGGAAAAACACTTTTAACATGAAAATGACATGAAATTACCACTATATCCACTAGATGGCTGCAGAGGAGCACTCATTACTTCATTTGCCATTCTTTACTCCCTTTCATAGTTCTTTTCGCATTTTTTTTTTTTTTTTTTTTTTTGCTTTTCGAATATTATAAAATGACTATAACAAATTGTTAGTATAGCAAGAGTAGGAAAAGTCATAAAGTCTCATGCCATTAAGATGAAAGGAATTTCATAATAAATAAATAAGCCCAGATTTTACAGTGCATGGTAAACTGTCTTGGATTGCTCCCGCATCATGTTATGTAAATTGCATTTAAAGAACTACAGGGATGCAGATATCATAATAATCATAACAATCTATTAATAAATGCACACACACATTGTCCTCTGCTTTTGACGCTGGTTTCATATGAGTTTCAAAGATCACAAATTAATGTACATGTATTACAGAGTTAATCACTCATTTTAGGGGGGCTGGGTGGACATTTAGGGGGGCTTAAGCAATCCTAAAATGGGTCTAGTGACGCCCCTGCTTTCATATCTTCTTGCATTATAGGCACCAAAAATATTGGACGTACCAAAGCCTTCAGAGCAGTGCTCGTCTCCCTCTCCAAAATTAGACTGCAGGAATGCTCCTACAGATACTGCACATCTTACACCCACTGGGCCTTACATTGTATCTAATAAGCCATCAGTGACCCCACCAGCCGAGCTCCCGGGACTTATGAGAGGAAAAGAGAAGGAAACTGAACCAGAAGGAGTTTCCCTGCAGAACCTACTGAAGAAATCACGGGAATTCATTGAAAAAGAACAAGGTAAACCGGGATCAAAGGTCATCGGCACCAAAATCCCGTTTGATAAAGAAAACGGCACTTCTCCGGACGCAACTGCGTCTGGTTTACCCTGTCATAGTCCCTCGCCTAATCGGACCTCTCCTAATAACCCAATAAGTCCAGAATCTGGTCTAAATGGCCGTTTAAGACCCCATCGCGGGCGTCCTCGTCCCATTTCTGCTGGCAACATCTTCTTCTCTTTCCCTGACGACCCCAACCAACTGAACACTACAGCCAATGCAAGGCCACAGGAAGTAAACACAATTGCGAGTACGGGTCGATATGATGACCACCCCAGGTTGAACGAGACCATCGGAAGATTGGAGCCCACGAGCCCTCTGTTTCGAAGGAGATGCCACACGCTGGACAGTCACCTGTCCTCCGGCCATCAGAGTCCGCTCATAGACCGGAGCCAGGAGAGAATGCCTCGGTTTATGGCCGGGGTCACTGCGAGAACGCACACTCGACTGTCTCCTCCGTCACCAATGAGCAAGACTTTCACACGGGACAGTCCCACAGCTGCACTTATGGGCTCTGGAATATCCCCTGACTCTCCTTCTCATGCCAAAGTATCATTTGAGGGAGACAGTGTCATTAGCACCGCGTTGCAAGAAAGGAGAGCAGGTAAGAACTGAGCAAAATGAGTGCACTATTGAAAACAAAGACTCAAATGGGTTTTACAGCTAATGTCAGTGAACTTTTTTTTAAGTTCCTCAAAGAGTTTTCTTAAAATCATCATGAGCTGGTGTTTTAAAGCAGGATATTAATGCCACGGATCCCCAAAATATGATGGCGAAAAACCTCCCTCCTAAAATATTATATATTATAAAATAATACTATAATATTATAAAACATGATATATTTTATCATTTACTATAGAGACATTTATACTATGAGAAAAAGAGTCATATTACACAAATAACATTGTTATTTTAACATTTATGGGGTCATTATATTCAAACCAAAAAGAATTATTCAAATATATATGGAAATATTTCATATATACAAGATAATATAACAATTAATACATATGTGTGTGTGTGTATATCATATACAAATAGTAATTACCATTATTAACAATGCATATTCTGTATAGTGCTTCCACAATGAATAATAATAATAATACAAAACAATCCAATCCAATATAAAATTATGATTAATACTGAATTTATTTGTATATTGCTTCCACGATAAATATTCTTTGTTTAGCTTTTTTTCTAATTTTTTTAACAAGACGTTTTCAGTTTGAACCCACAATCCAAGTATTAGCCTTTTTAATCTCCAAAGAACCTTATAACAACTCAAGACACAAAATATGCATGATATAAAGAGTTAATCAGTGGTCCCCTTGAATGTTGATTTGAGAGTAAAGACGAGATTTTCAGCTTTCTTTGAAATAGTATCCTCTCAGTTGTGTATTTCTGTGTTTCAGATGAGATGCAATGGCAGGTCCACGCTCTAGAAGACATGCAGCGGTCTCTGGAGGATGACTATGCTTTCAGATTATCGTGTCTGGTGGCAGAACAAGAGAGAGACCAACAGCATCACAGTCAGGTCAGCATTGGCACATACAGATATATATATATATATATATATATATATATACATGGGCTCTGTTCCAAACCTTTGTGCATTGCCACACGTTTACTATATATTTACCTAGGGATCATAACCAAAATAGGACCTTATAAATTGACAACTATACATCTGCTATGCATGAACTATAATTGATATGATTTATTCACAATAGTCACTCCATCTCCCTGTTCCTCATTCAGGAGTCGGAGGAGCGGGTCAGGAGACTGAGGGGTCAGGGTGGTCTGAGTCCTGTAGCGGGCGAGGACGGGTGTGAACGTTACCCTATACTGAGCCCCATCATGTGCCCTTTAAGCCCTGGAGAAAGATCACCAAGACACCCTGTGCCAGTCATCGGTATGTCAGCCGTGGCTGGAAGATGATTTTTTTTATTTATTTGATTAAAAATACACACACACACACAAACATTGCGAAATATCATAACAATTTAAAACAACTGTTTTCTATTTGAATATTTTTTTTAAAATACAATTTATTCCTGTGATCAAAGCTGTATATTCAGCATCATTACTCCAGTCTTCAGTGTCAAATGATCCTTCTGAAATCAGTCTAATATGATGATCAAGAAACATTTATTATTATTATCAATGTTGAAAACATTTACATTTTTATTTCAGGATTTATATATATTCTATCTGAATACAAAGTTCAAAAGAACAGCATTTATCTGTGTTTATTGTATTTATTAATAATTGTATTTTATTTTTTGGGGAAAGAAATAAAATAAAAACATAGTTTTATTCATCAAGGATCAAAAGTTACAGTAAAACATTTATAATATTACAAAAGATTCTATTAAAAAATACGGTTCTTTTTAACTTTAAGAATCCTGAATAAAAATTTACACAACTGTTTTCAACATTACTAATAATACATCATTATATCAGAATGATTTTTGATGGATCATGTGACACTGAAGACTGGAGTAATGATGCTGAAAATACAACTTTGATCACAGGAATACATTACATTTTAAAATATAGAGAAAACAGTTATTTTAAATTATTTTTATTTTTGAGCAGAAGAGAGTTAAAAAAACATAACAAATCTAACCGATCCGAACCGAACCGATATACATACATACACATAGATAGAATAGCCTACAGATATAGAAATAAAAACAAAAAGTAATAAAAACTACAAAAGAACATAATAAAATTACCAAAACTTAAAACTGATGTTGAAAAAAAAGCTAATTCACAATAATAACAAGTATTAAAACAATATATAAATAATGCTGATTCTGAAATTACACTGAATCAAAACCTCCGATTGCATGTGTTGGTTGACTACATTTAGAAAGCTTTCAGCTATTTTTAGAGCTAAACATGTTTGTGTGTTTCACAGAAGAAATAAAATCATATTTAGAACAATATGATGAAATGATGTCATTTTGGGGTAAACAAATTAACCATTCATTTACTACAAAATCAAAAGAATATAGTATGCACGACATACCATGGAATATATATTAACATGGCATTCTCATTTTTAGGTTTAGATGTGGCATCATCACCCTCAATACAGACTTCCATATATACGAGAGGGAAGAGCAGAAACAGGCTGAGTCAGGTTGGTTTTGAAATGCTTTTGAATTGATTGCTAAACTTGAATAAATGTTATTATGAGCTAAAGCCTGAGGTGTCGCATGCAGGTTATAACAGTGGGGCAGCAGAGGGCGCTGTGTCGCCTCACTGCGATCGTGAAGGGCTTTCTGACCAGGCGACTGCTCACAACTGAGAAAGTCAAACACCTCCGTCAAACCGTGCTAGTAAGAACAACCCTCAATAGCGTCCGTATACATGCTAACAAAGCCCTCATGGTATTGATAACCTCCCTACGTTTGTCTTTCTTCAGGACACGCAGGAGTTCATTCGTTCTTTCAGCAATAATGCCGCTCAGAGAAACGACCAACTGTCAGAGCAAGACCTGTCTCTGCAAGAGCGCGTCAGAGCCCAGGTCCCACTTTTGATGGTTTGGTACTAAAGAACCGTGTGTACAGCATCCGATATGGCACTAAATATGTTTTATATGCTTCTATTACAGTTACGTGCGGCCTTGTTTGACATTCATGATATCTTCTTCACTATGACACTAGAGGAGCGTTTGTTTCTGCTGCAGCAAGACCGAGAGCTGAGAGCTGAGAGGAAACTCAGAGAGATGGTAACTTCAATCTGCACTTCACTGGGTTATTTACATTTAGTTTTGATAAAACTATTATCTGCTGTTTTGAAAATTAGGCTACTGTAAATAATATTTGATTTGGCATACAGGAAAAAGCAAAAAGCCCCAAGGTGATTTTGTCTGCTGCAACCCAGAAATCTCTTGAGAGGAAGAAAAGGTGAGTTGTATATTAGAACAATATTATGTTTGAATTCATATTTTTTTTTGGTCTGATAAAGACTTTCTTTGTCTGAGAATTTCATGTTGTGACACATTTATGGCATCCGACCCATTAAATAAAAATATAAGTAAAAATATCACAAGTCATGATATATTTTGAAACCTATAATTTCACTGGAACTAGATGTTTTTTTAATAAATAATATTAAATAATATTAAACTAAATGGTTTATAAATATTTATAAATTTTAAGTATAATCATATGTAACCTATATATTTAATATAATATTATATTTTAGATATGTATTGAGGAAAATAGATATATATATATTTTTAGGAAATTATACATAGCTATATATATCTATAGATATATACTCTGTATATAATTCCTACTACATATATTTATTACAATATTTGACAATATATTTACAAATATGTAGAAATATAAAAAAGTATTGTATTGTAAATTATATATATAAATACTATTTATTTGATTTGCTATTTATTAATATATGTGGGGATATACAGTATTTGTATTTTCATAGTCGAATATATATATTATAAAAAACAAAATCTATACATGAAATGAAAAAAGTAACATAAAATAACTAATGTAAGCATGGTAAAAACAAAGAATGTGGCCTTCAACTTTAACCAAACACAGCTGAAAATTAAATGTGTGTATGTATGTATATATATAATATAGTATAGCAAAATAATATATAAAATGCTATTTTATTTAATATTAATTGACTAAAATACTGATCTGCTCTAAAATGTTCTCATCATCAGAGTTGGTGAATCTCCAGGTCAGACCAGACGAGCTCAGAAAACCAAGAGTCCCCCTACAAAAAGGTGAAGAGCTCCAATAGACACGCATTAACCACAGAGGGAAAACAGACACTTTACACATTTACATCCCCTTGCACTAGCTCCATCTTTCCAACGGTCTCTGTGTCCCTGTGTGTTGTGTTAAAGGATCCTGCAGCCCAGTCAGGGCCAGAACGCTCCAGTTTCAGGCCAGCAGTTCCTGCGCCGTGGGTCAGCTCTCCAGCTTTTCCTTCTTTTGATCATGCAATCTCCCATTCCGGCCATTTCCATTTCTTCTACGCTGTTGTTGATGGAATTTGAAATTCAATTCAGTCTTAGCTGGACGCTTACAGTACTGGAAATGCCACGGAGAGTCACCTGGCATTTAAAATTGGCTGCATTCATTTGTAAATGCATTTGGCAGGATCTCATGCAGTCATTTACTGAAGTGTGATCAAAATATCACTGTATTATATTACAAAGAAACACTCTGTATTAAAGTAACCTTAAAACAAACCCAGTACGTTTTAGGGAATGCATTGTATAAATATGCAAAGCCACGTTTCAAACTAATTGAGTTCACATTGAATGAAATAATTTTGAATGTCTATCAATATTAGATGCAATATTATAATAGAAAACATGCAAATCAAATATTCAATGTGTTTCAGGAGTTACAAGAAGACTCCAGAGGAGAGAGTCCAGCGTTCGGAGAGGCTGAAGAAACAGCATTCGCTGGGTTGATCTGGACATGAAAAATAATATTGGGCTAATCATAGATATACATTGAAAGATACTCTCCTGCTCGCCATCTCATTGAATCCTGATTATAGATATTTATTTCCTCCCGTTATTCAACAATTGCATATTAAGGCCCGTTCACATCAATGATGATAACTATAATGATAAAGTTGTAAAAATTGGTCTAAATATTAATAATAGCAGAAATCACGCCTGTAACGACAACGGCAAAGAGAAAGATATTGTTGGAATCACTTTCAGAAAGCATCTTTTCCCAGATGATGAACGATAAAACATTGACAGACAATTCTGAATCCTTCTTAAAGTGGCAGATGTGGCAGATAGTTATCGTAATTGGTATCACTGTGAACAGGCTTTTAGTCCAGATATTATTTAGAGGTTCATATAGGATACATAAATGAATGAATTATTACAAATTCAGTTTTGAGATGCCTTAAACATAAAGGTGGGATCTTCCTATATAGAAGCCGGCACTGATAAAGAGAAATGTCAATGCTGCTTTAATGATATTAATATATATATATAATATATACAGTATATCTATGTCAACAATACTTATAGAATGTCAGTAGAAGAATAAGAAAAGGGTGAAGATGCTCTTCACCAGAAATGATTGTATTTGACCAGCGAACACTACAAATTAATGTGAACTAATGTGGTATAACCATAATACTTTACTACTTAAAAATACAATAATACCGATTGTTTATATAATTGTTTATGCATTAGCTCTTGACTTGTATGCTTAAGAAGTACTCAACACATCTGCTAACACAAATGTGAAATAAAAATCACTTTATTTAATAAATCAATAAAGATGTCAATATCAAATAGAAAGGCACATTTCAAACAAGAAAGTTCATTTTGAATTCTGTCAAACAACCTCCATGAACAGAACTGAAGCTAAAACTAACAGGTTATCCATTCACAGCCTGTTTCCATCTGCATAAAACACAGTAAAGACGCAGCATTGAGCCACAGATGTGTGTGTGTTATAGTGAGTGGATGTGCTGGAGGAGTTTATCGCAGTAATCGGAGCTGCGCTGTTTCCCTCTCACCGCCTCTGTTTGCTGCTGTAACAGACCTCTGTCCACGGCACTGGACACCTTCAGAACCTCTGACAGGAAGAAGAGACAAGGAGATTTCAGATTTTGCTCATTTGGCATAGCAAAAACAGTCATGTTGCAGGGGTTTATGTATTCTGACATACTCGGATAAATATTCAGAATTAAAGGGATACTTCACCTCTGGAAAGATGAATGTGTGTTTAAAATGGGTCATTTATGTAGAAGAAATGTGAAATTATTTTTGAATTTGGAGTTTTGTAGACTGAGAAAAGCCAGAAAATGTGGATGAAAGACAACAACTCCCAGAATGCACTTGCTTCGCTACCCTATCGGTAACAGAGCGCAGTAGTTAAACAACAAGTCAAGGCTCTCCGTGATGAGTCTGCCCGAAAACGTGTTTCGAGATCCCCCAAAATGTCCGGGATTCGGCTTTTGCCAATCATTATGTTTACTGTGGCTAGCGGGACGAGACTGAGGGCCGACGGAGAACAGCGCAAGGCCGGTGGCATGATTACTGATAAAGTCCTTTAGTCTCTGTTACTGATGAGCGACGCCTGTGAGACGCACCGGTCTCGTATCTCTCACGGGAGAGCGGGAATTTTCTTAGCAATGTTAAAACGCACATCAACCGATCACTTGTTTAGCATTCATGTCAACACTACATTCAGATTCACCAATCAGAATGAACTCAGTTAGATTGAAACAAAAGGTGTGCATGTAAACAATGAATGGCGACTGCAGAAAGCAAAAGTGCAAAAATGAATCCCAGACATTGCAAACTGACGATTTTTGCGTCATCGGAGGATTTTTTCCAGACAAAAAAATACATAAATCTCTCGTTTCAGGGGGATATGAGGGTGGAAAGCACGGAAATTCGAAAATACTACAGGTTTTCTACTAATACAAAGCTTAATGCTAAATCCTGAAGTATCCCTTTAACTTCAGCCTAGAACAACTCTACTATATATATATATATATATATGAAGAGTTCAGATGCAAAAGCCTCTAAATGCCATTTGAAATTTTCTTCTTTAATGATGATTTTTTATCAAACTTTTATATTTAAGTTCAGTAATTTCACTTAAATAACAATTAATAGGTAATTATCATTGCCATTTAAGTGAAATCACTGAACTTAAATATACAAGCTTGATAAAAATGATCATTTTAGAAGAAAATTTCAAATGGCACTTAGAGGCTTTTGCATCTGAACTCTTCATATACACACACACACAAATAGTAAAGAAACGGTATAGAGTTTTGAGTTCTCATGTTCACCTAGGCTGCATTTATGTAATCAAATTATAAAAAAAAAAAATATATATATATATATATATATATATAATATATTAGTTTAATAGTATATATGTTACACTTATTTTTTTTAAATGTAGTAATTTAATAATGTTTTTTAGTTTATCATAATAGCAGGTTCATAATGAAATTGCGACCATAATTATCTGGTGTATTTTTGCATGTATACTCAATTCATTTTCATGAATATCATTATTTTGCAGTGTGATTACACAAAAAATGTCCCATTGTTTTACGTTTACAAAAAAAAAGAAAAAAGAAAAAACCTTCCAAAGTTTCCAGCTCACCGTTTAGGAACAAAAAGAAGCCCATAAAGCTGATTTGTGTTCTTTCAGCAGTCGTGTCTTTGTTGTGGGGATTTGGTTTTATACTGATTTGTTTGGTTGGGGAGGGGGGGATTTACTTTTATCCGCCGCTTTATACGTTTGTAAGTGCACCATAAAACAACGTTTTCTTTGTGTAAAGAAACGGGTGAATTTCCTCAGTAACTCAAGCGCAGTGTGAGAGTACTGTTATTATAAGCTTAACCATAGGAATGAGGGATTATGGGATATGGTGTTATAATGGACATTAATCACATATGGGGTGTCTTTTGAAATTCAAGATGAGTTAAAGAGCATAATAAAAAAATCAAGAAAGACAAGAAGAAGAGGAAATCAAGACGGTGTTTTCCCCCACATCTGTGGCCCTGTATGCATGATGACAAATGTTATCTCTAAATAAACCCCTTTTGTATAATACAAACGCATATTAGGATCACCCTGTCTGGGCTTATTTACATGTAGCGACATCAACCGGATGAACATACATACTATATGTACGTTTTCATCATCCTTTGAGGTTTCAAAGCCTAATTAGGGGGTATGGAGAGTTTCTGTACTCCGTGTGCACTAGGACACATTGACATAGGATTATGGGAAGGTGTTGACAGCCCATGACCCGGCTGGAGGCAGGCCAGTAGCAGAAGAGCGTGTGATGGATAGAGTGTAAAAATGCAGGATTAATGAGGCTCTTTGAAGTGGAGAACAGGGAGATCAGTGAAGTGGACCGTGGATGAGCGCAACACCATTAACACAGACCCGAATCACTTCCTTATGCAGCAGGAAGAGATTTATCTTACACCACAACAGTGTCGACACGAATATAACCGCCATCGCTCACGATTCAAGTCGAAACATCAGATGGTTACAGCAGGAATGAAGAATCGCATGCCGTCTGTGTGCGTGCGCCCCTACCGAGGACTGAATCCTGGATTTTGGTGTCGGGGTCGTCCATGTAGAGCAGCAGCTGCTGGAACAGGAACTCCAGGTGTGGGCGGCACGAGTGCGTGTCGTAGTTTTCCCCCAGAGATGAGAACCATGTGCTCAGAGACTTCAGCGCTTCGAGACGTACGTCTTCACTGCTGTCATCCACGCGCTTCAGCAGCTCTGAAACACAAACAGACACGCTCATGAAAGCACACACTACCTCACAGACACATCTGAAATCACCAAAGTGTGCAATGACAACAGTTATTATACACACTGATGTGCTTCATTTAAAGGGATAGTTCACTTTGAAATTAATTTTTGGTAGCTTACCTCAAGGGCATCCAAGATGTAGGTGTCTTTGTTTCCGCTGTAGTTTCAATTTTGATATTTTTAGGGCAAACCGTTCTTGTCTGTCAGTCATATAATGCAGGTCTATGGTCACCACCTCAAAGAGCATGCACAGAGAAGTCCAAATTAAACATGATTTAATGACTCGTAAATGTAAGTACACATTGATGGCCTAAGACACGAAACGAGCGGTTTGTGTGAGAAAACAAACAGTATTTATATCGTTTTTACCTCTTGTAACCACAGCCACGTAAGGTTAAAACGATGTAAATACTGTTCGTTTTCTCACACAAACCGCTCGTTTCGTGTCTTAGGCCATCAGTGTGTACTTACATTTATGAGTCATTAAATCATGTTTAATTTGGACTTCCCTGTGCATGCTCTTGGAGGTGGTGACCATAGACCTCCATTATATGACTGACAGACAAGAACGGTTTGACCTAAAAATATCAAAATTGAAACTACAGCGGAAACAAAGACACCTACATCTTGGATGCCAAAAATGTATTTCAAAGTGAACCATCCCTTTAACCAGGATAGTCTTATGAATCCTGGCATCCACTTTTCAAAACAAAAGTAAACATTAAATATAACAAATAATTGTATAAAAACAACAACAACAACAAAAAAATGTATATTAATAAATGTCTGAAAATGTATGCAAAACATACAGATATGCTTAATTTAACCAGGGTAGTCTTATAACAAACAGACTATTTAAAAACATTGAACAAATTTTTTTATAAAAAGCTTAATTCAGTTTTTATGGACACTGACTACTATAATATATTAATAAATGTCTGGAAAATTTGCGCAAGGCACATAGTCATAAATTTAACCAGGATAGTCTTATAACAGAAACAGAAAAAGACTACTTGAAAATAAAAATAAAAACTTCCAAAAAAAATGCCTTCCAAAAATGCCTTCCATTTACAATGTTTAACAGTCAAATCCGTTTCAATCTATCTTTTTCAACAACATGCTGTAATATCTTCATGTACACAGTCAAATAAAAACACAGACCTTAGAGCAGATGCTCCATTAATTTGGTGCATGAAAATACATCTGTGAGCTATAGAGCCTCAATCCATTCAACATGTTTGACATCTGATGTACACACAACCGATTTTGTGGAACAAAGCATTTTCAATGCTGGAAAACAGTGTTCAAAAATATTTACCACTGCACTTCTTGATTTTCATCTGTCACAGTAAATATGCTGCTCCCTTCTCTTTCATTGTTTAACAGTAAGTAGGACGAGTTAAGTGTACCTGGGTAGATCTTGTTGAGCGAGTCAGTGCTGAGCTGTTGTGTGGTGAGTTTCAGCAGTGAGTGAAGAGATCTACAGGCCAGAAGACGAGCCAGTTTAGAGTCTTCCTCCAGCGCGGAGATCAGCTGCGTACTGAGAGTCTCCTCCACCGACACAATCTAAAACACATTTATTACAAAATTGGACAGTTGAAGAGTGGAAAAATGTTGCCTGGTCTGATGAGTCTCGATTTCTGTTGATGGTAGAGTCAGAATTTGGCGTAAACAGAATGAGAACATGGATCCATCATGCCTTGTTACCACTGTGCAGGCTGGTGGTGGTGGTGTAATGGTGTGGGGGATGTTTTCTTGGCACATGGTTTTTAGGCTAATAATCCTTTAGGTGAGTGTACAGTATATATAGAATTATTATTTTGAATGTTTAATGGCTCTGCTGTAGTGATAGAGTTGATGTGTGTGTGTGTGTGTGTTATTACTCGCTCTGCTGGGAAAGCCGCCCCATGTAAGACAGCTAACAGACAGCTGAGAGCAGCGGTCCTGACAGCCGCGGCAGATCGACCTGAACGCCACACCAGATTAGGCAACAACAA